ACGGCCCCTCCAAGGTGCAGCTGGACTGTCGGGAATGTCCCGAGGGCCATGTGGTCACTTACACACCCATGGCTCCTGGCAACTACCTCATTGCCATCAAATATGGTGGCCCCCAGCACATCGTGGGCAGCCCCTTCAAAGCCAAAGTCACAGGTGAGCACCCTGGGAGGGGATTTCCTGTCTGGCCGACCTGGGGAGGTTTTGGTGGCCATTCACTTCCAGGTCACACATATCAGGGTCATGCTGCCAGGAGTAGGTGGGCATGGGTCTGTGGAGACATCCTGTGGACCTGTTTTGTAAAGTTCATGACTGTCGAGCACAGTGGGTAGGGCGTTCGCCTTACACGCGGCCAACATGGCCGACCAGAGTTCAATTCCTCCGCCCCTCTTGGAGAGCCCGGCAAGCTACTGAGAGTATTCGATATGCCAGACACAGTAACAACAAAGTCTCCAATGGAGATGTTACTGGGCCCGCTCGAGCAAATCGACGATCAACGGGAGGGCATGACTGTCGCTTGACTCTTCCTCTCAGTGGCTCCCCAGGCTGTCCTGGGTTTCCATCCCCAGATGAGAGTTCAGGAAGCCTGGAACGAGCTTGCCTCATGGCAGCTGCATGAAGGCTTAGTGGAATTTCTCTTCCTTCTGAGAGCAAGACTCTTGTCCTCTGATAGAGTTGCCAATGTCGTGGGATGAGCCTTCCCTGAGCCCCCCCGTCTGGGCTCTGGGGAATAGGCCGTGTCCCTGAGGCTGCATGGAGGAAGGGCAGGGGAATCCTCAGAGGCCTGACCTGGCTCGCTCCCACCCCACCCTTCCCCTCAGGTCCCCGGCTGTCGGGAGGCCACAGCCTTCACGAAACATCCACGGTTCTGGTGGAGACGGTGACCAAGTCATCCTCCAGCCGGGGCTCCAGCTACAGCTCCATCCCCAAGTTCTCCTCAGACGCCAGCAAGGTGGTGACCCGGGGCCTGGGCCTGTCCCAGGCCTTCGTGGGCCAGAAGAACTCCTTCACCGTGGACTGCAGCAAAGCAGGTTGGTGGAGGTGGGGATGGGGGGGGGGGGTGCAGGAGAGGGTCCTCGGGTGTGGCTGAGCCCGTCTCACACTTGCCCGCCCTCTCCAGGCACCAACATGATGATGGTGGGCGTGCACGGGCCTAAGACGCCCTGCGAGGAGGTGTACGTGAAGCACATGGGGAACCGTGTCTACAACGTCACCTACACCGTCAAGGAGAAAGGGGACTACATCCTCATCGTCAAGTGGGGCGACGAGAGCGTCCCAGGGAGCCCCTTCAAAGTCAACGTGCCCTGAATCCCACAAGTGCCTCCCCCAGCCTCATCCCCACCTCTGGCCACACACCCACATACAGACACACATCACACACACACAGACATGCAGACACACACACACACACACACACACACACACACACACACACACACACACTCACACGCGCATGCGCAGAGCCAGGCCCCTGTAACTTGCCGTGCAGTGAGACAGGGGCTGCACTTCCTCACCCCGCCTTACCTCCGGGGATTGGAGGGCTGTGTCCCTCCCCTCAAATGTGACATGAAGGCTGACTGAGGTGTTGGGGAACCTCCCCCCCACTGGGAAGCCCTGAGTTTTTGGGTGGGGGAGCCAATGGTGGGAGGTGTCAATGTTGAGGACACCCCCAGCCGCACCGCAGGCCTCTCTGTGGTGGAGGACTGTGTCCAGCCCTCGGGTGGCCGCGGGGACTGACGCAGCGCAGCTGGTCCGGGAAGAAGACCCAGCACCAGCGGCAGCTCCAGCCCGCGCCTGTTGAGGACTGATTTCTTTATTATTAATTTTTTTTGTAATGGTTGCACAGCTCTGCCCCATTTGGGGCCTTTTTTACACACTGCGAGGCCCAGCTTTCTGGGGGCCTTTTGCACATGTCATGTGGCTCCCCGGGAGCCGCTTGGTTGGAAAACTCAAAATAAAGTGCGGCCCGTCGCAGAGTTTGTTCTGATCCTTGTGTGTGTCCTTGCTGCAGGCCGCCGCCCTCCAGGCAAGGCCCAGGGCCAGGCACTTGCTGAAGTCCTGTGAGCAACAGGCTGGGAGGAAGCTGTGAGCTCAGACCCGACCCTGCCGGGGAGGGAGGGGGACACTGTGTTCCCAAAGCTGCCCTCAGACCGCGGGGGGCCCGCTCCCCTTGAGCCTGGACGAGGGATCTTCTCCAAATTAGGGTTCCAACTGAGCGCTGACTCAGAAGGAATGCTGCGCGCCCGATGGGTGGGGGGGCAACGGGCCAACCCAGAGACCTCTCTGGCCGCATCCAGCCTGGGTCATCCCTCGGCCTGTCCCTCCCCTCCTTCAGCCTGACACCGCTCAGTTCTATCTCCTGACAGCCTCTAACTAGTCCCCCAGCCCAGCATCCTCTAACCAGTCCCCCAGTAAGCATCCTCTAACTAGTCCCCCAGCCCAGCAGCCTCTAACTAGTCCCCCAGTCCAGAAGCCTCTAACTAGTCCCCCAGCCAGCAGCCTCTAACTAGTCCCCTGGCCCAGTAGCCTTTAACTAATTCCCTGACCCAGCAGCCTCTAACTAGTCCTCCAGCCCAGCAGCCTCTAATAGTCTCCCAGCCCAGTAACCTCTAACTAGTCTTTCCACCCAGAAGCCTCTAATTAGTCCCCCCACCAGCAACCTCTAACTAGTCCCCCAGCCCAGCAGCCTCTAGTCCCCAGCTCATCAGCCCTTGTCTACCAGCCCCTAACTAGCCCTCTGGCCCATCAGCCTCGAACTGGTCCCCCAATCCACCAGCCCTCAAATTATCCCCTGGTCCACCAGCCTCTAGTCTCCCTGCCTCCAAGCCTACTCTAATAAGACATAGCTCATAGCAGTCAGGGACTCTCACATTGCTGCCCTCTGCAGTTCCCCCAACATCCCCCCAGGGCTGACTGCCCTAAGGCACATCTCTGGCTGCAATGACCACCCTGATGAACAAGCATTTCTCTCTCTCCAAGGGTTTATCTGCCTCCCCCCCCACCCTCCCACACTGCCTCCACCATCAGACTGAGCACCCCCCACCCCTCCCACACACACACATCCTTGCTGGAAGATCCAATATAGACAACTGTGATGATTAGAGAACCAAGCAACAAGTCAGTGGTGGGCAAAGCAGATTCTACAACAGAACCACCCCTGACATTTCAGCACCTACAGGGGGGAACAGCTAGAAAACGCATCATCCCTTGATCCCATCCCCCTTCCACCCAGTAGTTTGCCTTCTACTGGCTCTTGAGTCTTGCCCGCCAAGACCCCTCCGTGACCACTTTTCACTGTATTCCTGCCTCTCCCCAGTCTCCCAGAAGTTCCTAGAGGACAGAAGCCACATGTCCTGTTTGGTGAGCTCCGGCTCTGATCAGAGCCACATCAGACCTCAGGCTACTTCCAGGGACGGCCACTGTGGGCAGTGCTGTGGATTCCAGCTGGTCCTTCCCTCTCCCCACACCCCTCCCGCAACAGAGCCTTTTCCAGCAGTAAGCCGTCCCCCAACCCGTGTGTGTTGATGTGCTACAGCTGTGTATGGCCCCAGGTACTGACATTTCTGGGCTCTATCTCCCTCAACACCAACAGCTCTCTGATACTTTTAGCGGTGAGTCCCAAATTGCCTCCCAGTAGCAGGAGGAACAAACCAGATGCGTCCCAGTCCTGAGCCTATCATCCACACAGCCCCCCAGGTCAGACTATCTGGGTGCTTCAGGCACTCTAAACTCACAAATCAAAAGCCAGAAACAGGGATGCCTTCTACAGGGGGTGAGGAAGAGTCAGAAGGATAGCAGAGCGGGTAAGGCACTTGCCTTGTATCTGCATAGCCCAGGGTTCGATTCCCTGCACCACATAGGGTCGCCTGAGCACCGCCAAGAGTGATCCCCGAGTGCAGAGTCAGGAGTCAGCGCTGAGCACTGCTGGCTGTGGCCCTCAAAACCTACATAAATAAATAATAAAATAAAAGGGGGAAAGAGAGAGTGGATCTGCTGTCTTCGAGAGATTCGTATCAGAGTTCACTTCCCGGGGAATGTCACCCCTAGCATCTAACTGCACAGAGAAGAAAGCTCTTAAGTCCGTAGATCTCTGCCTCACTTGCCACACATGCCCTGTCCCCAAACCAACCTGGTCCACCATGTCTCTCTCTCTCAACTCCACCTGCTTCTCTGTGTCTGCACTACCACACCCGTGTGCTGCCCATCCCCAACACTAATACAATGCCTCCTTGGATCTTTGCACACAGTAGGGATACAGGTATCATCCTCTCTTTTAAAATCCTGCATATGGGGGACCTGGGAGCTAGCTCAAGAAGCAAGTGAGCTTTGCATGAGCGAGGCTTTGATTACATCCACCACCCACCTGGTCCTTGTAAACAGCCAGCACTGGGCGGGTGTTGCTTCCCCACACCCCCCATCAATTCTGCAGTGACTTCGGGATAATTTCCAGAGTCTTTAGCTTTTCTTGAAGCGCGCCTACACTCTAGTCACTAAGACTCTGCAGATGCTCTTCCTCTTGCCTTAGCTGAGCGTCCCCCTCCTTGCACGGGTTACACATCGTTGAAGCTTTCACGTACCCACTCGCAGTGCTCAATAACTGTTCATTGGACTCTCCGACTCACTGGGATCCCCATCGACTCGCTCATGCTTTATTTAGGGAATACATACGCTCTGTTAACTATGTGCCACCAGGTACCTTCCTATACCCATGTTCCCCGCCTGAACTTCGCCTTGGAGAACTGGAAGCTTTCTTTGCAAGGAGAATTGGTTCTCTGAGCCAGGAGGGAGCAGCAGACGCGCAGTCGGGTTCACCACGATCGATCGATTCCACTGGCCCGTGCAAGCTCTCGGTGTCGCGCGGGCTTCTGGGAATTGTAGTCCGGCGGGGTGGCGGTTCCCTACGGCGCAGGCGTAGTCGCGTGGCGAGCAGCCCGCGGCCAGTGCGCATGTGCGGGGAGGCGTGCCGGCCACACTGCGCATCCCCGGCAGGAGGCGGGGCGCGGCCGCGGCGGCTTTGGGGACTCGCGGGGGTGGTGGACGCTGAGCTCTGCGCTGCTGCTCTTGCTGCTGCTGCTGCTGCGACCATGGCGGGCAGGGGCAAGCTCATCGCGGTGATCGGAGACGAGGACACGGTGACTGGCTTCCTGCTCGGGGGCATCGGGGAGCTGAACAAGAACCGCCACCCCAATTTCCTGGTGGTGGAGAAGGACACCACCATCAATGAGATCGAGGACACGTTCCGGTAAACGGCGACACCCGGGCCCGGGACGCGGGGGAGCGGGCGGCCCCGGGGACTCGGGCTTGCGCCGGCCTCCCAGACCCCCGCCCCCGCGCCCCAAGTTCCCTCCCGGGCTCGGGGGCGGGGGGAAGGGGACGTGGGCACTCCGGCGTCCCTCCGCTTCCCCCTCACATGACCGTGTGTGTCGGGCAAGAAGGGGAACAGGGTTGGTGACGGGCCCCGCGGTCACTACGCGTCGGGAGTGCCCGGTGGGCGCCGCGCCCCTCCACAACCCTCACTACCCCGGCCCTCACCTCCCGACCCTCACCTCCTGGCCCCCTCGTCCCTGCCCCAAGTCTCCTGGCCCTCACCTCCCTGCCCCTAACCTCCCGACCCTCACCTCCCAACCCTCACCTCCCCCGGCCCTCACCTCCCTGCCCCTCACCTTCTGGCCCCCACGTCCCTGCCCCTAGCCTCCTGGCCCTCACCTCCCTGCCCCTAACCTCCCGACCCTCACCTCTCAACCCTCACCTCCCCCGGCCCTCACCTCCCTGCCCCTCACCTTCTGGCCCCCACGTCCCTGCCCCTAGCCTCCTGGCCCCCACCTCCCTGCCCCTAACCTTCTGGCCCTCATCTTCTGACCCTCACCTCCCTACCCCTCATCTTCCCTGCCCTCACCTTCCCTGCCCTCATCTCTTACCTTCCAGGCCCTCACCTCCCTGCCCCTAACCTCCTGGCCCTCACTTCCCAGGCACTCACCTTTCTTGCTCTCTCCTCCCTGGCACTCAACCTTCCTGCCCCTCACCTCCTGGCCCCCACGTTCCTGCCCCTAGCCTCCTGACCCTCACCTCCCTGTCCCTAACCTCACTGCCCCTAACTTCCTGACCCTCACGTCCCTGCCCCTCACCTCCCGGCCCTCACCTCCCTACCCCTAGCCTCCTGACCCTCATCTCCCTGCTCCTAACTTCCTGGCCCTCACCTTCCTGCCCTCAGCTCCCCAGCACTCACCTTCCTGGCCCTCACCTCCCTGCCCCTCACCTTCCCTGCTCTCACCTTCGTGGCCCTTACCTCCCAGGCCCAGCACCCTCCCTGGTCCTCCCCTTCCTATTCCTCACTTCCACGGCCCTCACCTGCTGTCTCCCACCTCCACGGCCAGCACTTCTCCGGCCCTCACCTCTTTTTTTTTGCTTTTTTTGGGGGGGTCCCACCCGGCAATGCTCAGGGGTTCCTCCTGGCTTGTGCACTGAGGAATTACTCCTGGCGGTACTCAGGGGACGATATGGGATGCTGGGAATCGAACCCAGGTCAGCGGTGTGCAAGGCAAACACCCTTTAGACTGTAAAGCCAGGTCTGCTGAGACCTTGGGCCTTCCTGGACATTTTCCTGCCCTAGAATGAATGGTAGAGCCCAGGCACGCCCCTTAGTCAGGTGGTGCCCCAGGATTCGAACTGGGGAGCGAGCCCCCTACCCTCCTTTCTTCCCTGGCCACTAAAGGGCTCCTGTGTCAAGTCTCAGGAATAAGCCTCTCTTGACTGTTTCCCTGTAAATAGCCCCGCCCTCACTGTGGGCTCACCAAGACCGGTTTCCACTGCCCCTGGGCTGGGAGGTCCAGCAGTCTGGTCAGGTGACCAGGTTACTGGGAGGACAGATTTTACACCAAGAGTGGCCACGTAGGGCCCCTGAGCAACGGTATAGCAGGTCGGGTGCTTGCCTTGCACGTGGCGGACCCAGATTCCATCCTTGGCGCCACATATGGTCCCCCGATTATACTGTCAGATGTGATCTCTTAGTGCAGAGCCAGGAGTATGCCCTGAACACTGCCAGGTGAGGCCTGAAAACTTAAAAAAAAAAAAAAAGTGGGGGCCGTGTTTCCGATCCCAATGTGAAATCATTCTGAATGGATGAAGGGGTGGAGGTGCACATGAGAACCCCCCAAGCCAAATATTTGACTTTTTGGGTCACCTTCCCGTGAGCCTTGCGCCAGCTTCAGTCTGTGTGGGAAGTCTGTTCTAACTCTGCATCGTCTACACCCAGCTTCCCCTCTCATCCAGCCCCACTTTCCTCTGCATAGACCTTGGTGGTCTCATCAGATCTCCCCCACTTTGGGGGAGCCAGGGTTTGGATTTGGGGAGCACACCCAATGGTGCTTAGATCACTTTGATGGTGCTTGGGGAACCAGGCAATGCCAGGGATCAAATCCAGGCCTCGTCTATGCAAGGCATCTGCTCCAGCCCAGTGAACTGTGTCTCCAGACCCTGTAGAGTCTTTATTTTTTAATATTTATTTATTTATTTGGCTTTTTGGGTCACCTTCCCATGATACTCAGGGATTACTCCTGGCTCTGCACTCAGAAATCACTCCTGGTTGGGGCTGGAGCCATAGTACAGTGGGTAGGGCGTTTGCCTTGCACATAGCCGACCCGGGTTCGATTCCCAGCATCCAATATGGTCCCCCAAACACCGCCAGGAGTAATTCCTGAGTGCATGAGCCAGGAGTAACCCTGTGCATTGCCGGGTGTGATGCAAAAAAAAAAAAAAAAAAAAAGAAATCACTCCTGGCATTGCCCGGGGGACCATATGGGATGCTGGGCTGGGGATCAAATCCAGGTGAGCCGTGTGCCAGGCAAATGTCCTCCCTGTTATACTATCTCTCCAGCTCCAAGACCCTGTAGATTCTCACCCTCTCCCTTTCTTACCCCAAAGCAGCGTGTGGACGACACTGCCGGCGCTCAGTCTCCAGCTTTGTTTTTTTCTTTTCTTTATTTTTTTTTTAATTTTTGCTAGTGAAACACCATGAGGTACAGTTGTAGATTTACAAATTTTTGTGCTTGGGTTTCAATTATACAATGATCAAATACCCATCCCTCCACCAGTGCCCATTTCCCACCATCACGGATCCCAGTATCCCTCCCACCCCCCATCCCCCCCACCCACCCTGCCTCTGTGGCAGGGCATTCCCTTTTGTTCTTTCTCTCCTATTGGGTGTTGTGGTTTGCAAAAGAGGCATTGAGTGGCAATCATGTTTGGTCTATAGTCTACTTTCAGCATGCTTCTCCCATCCTGGGAGGATCCTCCCAACACCCTTTATTTGGTGCTCCCTTCTCTATCTGAGCTCCCTTTTCCCCTAGCATGTGCGGCTGGCCTCCAAGCCATGGAGCAAAATTCCTGGTAATAATCTCAGCCATTCTTGGGTGTTAGTCTCCTATTTTGTTACTTTATGTTCCCCAGATGAATGCAATCTTTCTATGTCTCTCCCTTTCTTTCTGAGTCATTTTGCTTACCATGATACTTTCCATGTAGTGCCACTTATGTGTAAATTTCATGACTTCATCTTTCCTTACAGCTACATAGTACTCCATTGTGTAGATGTACCAAAGTTTCTTTAACCAGTTATCTGTCCTCGGGCACTCAGGTTTTTTCCCAGATTCTGGCTATTGTAAACAGTGCTGCAATGAACAAACAAGTGCAGATATCACTTCGTCAGTCTCCAGCTTTGTTGGGAACCTTCTAAGCAAGGGGGCTTGTTGACCACCGTGGCTCTCAGCTTATTTATATTTTTTAACTCGGAGGATCAAATCCAGGACCTCACCTACACAAGGCATGAGCACTGTTATTGAGCCACAGCGCCGCCTTCTAAAGTTCTTCCCACTTCCACTTAAATTTATCCTGGCCATACTGGCAGTGCTTAGAACCTACTCATAAAACAGTGCTCAGAAGTCACTCCCAGTGGTGTGGGGGACCTTGTGGTTCTAGGGATGGAACCCAGAGCTCCCATGTGTAAAGCATGTGTGCACACTAACTCTGAGTCATCTCCCTGGGTCCTTTTCCCTTCCCTTTATTGTGATTTCTGGGGAAATCTGTCTGTCTGCCTCTCTGTCTCTCTCTCTCACACACACACACATACACACACACACACACTCAGTTGAGGCCCTTAACTTTTGAAATTTTTTTTGGGGGGGTGGGAGGGGCCAAATCTGGCAGTGCTCAAGGCCTTGCTCCTGGCTCTGTGCTCAGGGATCACTGCTGGCTGGCTCTGGGGACCATATACAGTGCCAGGGATCTAACTCAGGGTGGCCACTTGAAAGGCCAGCACCCTACCAGCTCTACCAGAGCTCTGCCCCTGTTTATTTTTTGTTTTGGGGCCACCCCCCGTGGTACTTGGGGGCCCCTCCTGTACTTGTGAGGGCTGCTCCCAGCAATGTGCTGGGCGCCGTGAGGTGCCGGGATCGAAGCCTGTGCTCGGCTTGTTGTGTCCTGTCTCTGGGCTCAGAGGAAGTTCATTTTGCATGGAAACCTTTCCCCTCCCGGCTTCTGCAGCGGGAGTGAGCCTCGGCCCTGGTCTTCCCCACCCCCTCTTCTCCCCGCAGGCAGTTCCTGAACCGTGATGACATCGGCATCATCCTCATCAACCAGTACATCGCCGAGATGGTACGGCACGCGCTGGACGCGCACCAGCGCTCCATCCCCGCTGTGCTCGAGATCCCATCCAAGGAGCACCCTTACGACGCGGCCAAGGACTCCATCCTGCGCAGGGCCCGGGGCATGTTCACCGCTGAGGACCTGCGCTAGGGGCTTCCCCGCGGCTCGACACCCTCCCTTCTCCCAGTCATGGGCCTCTGGCTTCCACATCCCTGCCCTCCCCACTCCGTTAAGAGACCAGATGAGGTGCTTGCAGGTTTCTGGGGGCGCTGCCATTAAAATCAAGGCTGTTTAGGGTGTACGGGAGGCTTGTCTTCTCTCTCCGCTCCCTCCTCCCTGTGCTGTTGACTCACGGTCGTCCTTATGTGAAATCAGCATCTTTTGACGCTCTGAACTCGGGCTGGGTGCTGGAAAGGCCCGTGCGGGAGGGAGGGGACTGTGGTGGCCCTCAGGTGATCAGGGCTGGGCTGGGAAGATAGCACAGCCGGAAAGGCGTTTGCATTGTGTGTGGCCAACACAGGTTCGATCCCCGACATCCCATATGGTCCCCAAGTCCTACCAGGAAAGATCACTGCAGAGTCAGGAGTAAGCCCTGAGCATCCCCGGTTGTGGCCCTAACCCCCACCCCCACCCCCAAAACCAAAAACAATCTGAGGGTCTGGAGCAATAGCACAGTGGGTAGGGCGTTTGCATTGCACGTGGCCGACCCGGGTTCGATTCCCAGCATCCCGTGTGGTCCCCCGAGCACTTCCAGGAGTGATTCCTGAGTGCAAAGCCAGGAGTAACCCCTGAGCATCGCCGGGTGTGACCCAAAAATCAAAACAAATAAATAAATAAACAAATAACAAAAAACAATCTGAGCAGGGCTGGACCCAAGCAGAGAAGCGGTGGGCCAGGAAGGTGGGGCCCTTGCTCAAGGACCCATCCCCCAAAGTAGAGGATGGAGGGCTGGAGCGATAGCACAGCGGGTAGGGCGTTTGCCTTGCATGCGGCCAATCCCAGCATCCCAAATGGTCCCCTGAGCACTGCCAGGAGTAATTCCTGAGTGCATGAGTCAGGAGTAACCTATGTGCATCACCAGGTGTGACCCAAAAAGCAAAAAAAAAAAAAAAAAAACCCCGAAAAAGAAAAACAGGAAGGAGTATGGAGGTGGAGCAGGCCCTTAGCTCCCCTGCTCTGGGCTAGTTTGGGCTGAGGAGGGGCCCCCAATTGTAGGACTCAGAAGCTGAGTGCAGGAATCCAGGCGCCTGGGGTTCTAGAGCCAGGTTCTTGCAGGAGATTTGGGGGTCAAAGCTCGGCTCGCGGCCGCCAAGGCTGAGGCTGGCTCAGGGAGCGAGGCCTGTGAGGCCGCAGTGGGCAGGGCAGTGAGCCCCTGGCCCTGTGTGAGGTGGGGCCGGTTGCCAGGTGATGGACCACCTGCTGTCTGCCCTGTGCCCAGGGGAGCTGCCCACCGCAGCTGCCCACTGCTCCTGCCACCATGGCGCGCTCGCTCTTCGTGGATACCTTACGGCAGAGCTTCTGGAAGGAAGAATACCAGAAGGAGAAGATGGCACGCTGTGACTGGTACCGCAAGTACGGGTCGATGGTGAAGGCCCGGCAGAAGGCCCGGGCCGCAGCCCGCCTGCCTCTGCAACTGCCCATCTTACACCCCAAGGGGCCCCCATCACCCACCCCTGCTCCCAAAGTCGCACCCGACAAGGTGCCCATTGCCGTCCAGGCCGCGCCGCCTCTGCAGTCCGAGATGCGGCCCGTGCCGCCGGCCGTCAGGGCCCTGCTGTACGAAGGCATCTCCCACGACAACCAGGGCCGCCGCCACTACCTCAGCACCCGGAACCTGGAGCTGCCCGAGAAGCGCTACCACTTCCCCATCACCACCAGCTTCACGTACGGCTGGCAGCTGGGTGAGCCCAACCCTCCAGAAGTGGTGCCCCCCCATGATTCTTGGGATGGGGGAGGGTACACTGTTCTTGGGGGGGGGTAGCGTTCTAGTGGAGGGTTAGGCCATGGACAAGAGCAAGGAAAGGCCCAAGAGGGACACGTTTCATGGTGGGCGGAGCTAAGTAGGGATTTCCCCCTTGCCAGGAGGTGGGGTGCAGGGTTATATAGAGGTGCTTTGGATGGGATTGTCCACACAGCCCTCTCCAGCCATGAATTTTCATTCAAAAGCTAAATGACAGGGAGATTTTATCCTCACCATGAGGGGAAGCTTCTGGGGTGGGGGTAGTAGGGCCCATGTGGGAACCCAGGGTTTGATCCCTAGCATGACATGCACCCCGAGTGGTCCTGGGAGTGAGACGCTGCAAAATAAAATAACCTTGTGGCCAGGGCTGTGACTCAGCGGGTCTTGTGCTAGTTCACCCCAAACACAGCATTTCTGAGTATAGCCCTTGTGGCCGCTGAGCCTGTTGGGTGTGACCCCTTCAGTAATAAATAATAACCCAGGCAGGGAATGGAACTCAGTGGCAGGCACATTCACATGCTTTGCCTGGTGTTTTTTTCTTTTTTTTTTTTTTTTGCCTTTTGGGTCACACCCAGCGATGCTCAGGGGTCACTCCTGGCTCTGCACTCAGGAATTACTCTTAGCAGTACTCGGGGGACCATATGGGATGTTGGGGATTGAACCCGGGTCGGCCGCGTGCAAGACAAATGCCCTACCTGCTGTGCTACCGCTCTGGCCCCTGCCTGGGTGGTTTTTTGTTGTTTCATTTCTGGGCCACACTCAAGAGATACTCGGGTTATTCCTGGTTCTGCACTCAGAAATTACTCCAGGCAGTGCTCCAGGGACCATAAGGGATGTGAGGGAATGAACCCAGGTCGGCCGCCTTCAAGGCAAATGCCCTACCCGTTGTACTATTGCTTCGGCCAAGGCCATGGTTTTGGTTCCTGACTCTACATGTAGAAGTAACCATTCTGGAACCAAAGGCATATAGTACAACAGGCAGGGCGTTTGCCTTACGTGCAGCCGACCCGGGCATGATCCCTGGCAATCCATGTAGTCCTCCGCACATGGCTAGGAATAATTCCTGAGTGTCTGAGCCAGAAGTGGTTCCTGAGCACCACTGGGTATGTCCCTACTCCCACCCCCACCCCCAAAGGAGTTACCATTCTGTAGACAGTGGCTTTATAAGGGGAAGAGTAGAAACCGGTAGGTGAGTTGGGTATTTATTCTGAGTTGTTCTGGCCAAACGTGCTGATGGCAGGGGCCAGGGGCATCAGCAGAATATGGGCTTTGGAGCTTCGGATGCCATGAATGAGGAGGGGAGAGAGCTGAGGTCCTGCCCTCTGGTAGGGCTCAAACAGCTGGTCCTAAGCAGATGGGTGGAGCGGAGCTGGGGTGGTGACCAGGCCAGCAGGAGTGGGGCGGTGCCCGTGGCGGCTGCCTATGAGAAGCAGGACTTTGGAGCCAGGTCGAGCTGAAGGAGCTGAAGGGACTTATTGGGGGGATCATCAAAGCTGAGGTGCTATTGAAAGTCCTGAGGCTCAGGCACTCCAGGTGCTGAGGCTGTTGGAGGCCTGAGCCGTAGGAGCTGGGGGTGCTGCTCTTTCTTTGCAGGACTGTGTCTGTGGGGTGGTGAAGTTAAGTGTTAAGGGGCAGGGAGTGGAATGTGGGGGCTTTCGTGGGAGCTAGGCTTCCCTGTACTGTCTGTGCTGTGAATTTTAAGCGAGGCTGTGTGGATCACGTGTCTTTGCTGGCTGGGGCCTGCAGCAGCAGAAGCAGGCAGGGATAAATACAGGGTTTTGCCTAAAAAGCACCCCTGCACATTCCCTCACGGGTGGACTGTGTAAAGGAACGTTGCCGCAGACACAGGCAGCGGTCCCGGAGATGGTAGATGAGAGGTCTGGCAAGCATGTCTGTGGCTGGGTGTTGACGACCGGCCCCCCTCAGGGCCACCAGTTCAGGACTTCACACACCCACTCCTCGGAAGCACTTTTATTTCTTCCCCAGTACACAGTGGACCCGGCCAGGTGGACGTTCCAAACCCAAAACCCATTTCCCGCCCCTGCGTCTTTCCCCAGGCCCGGTAGAGAAACGTGAAAAGATCTCCTGCAAGATGTGCCGTCTCGAGTCGTTCTTCCGCAAGAACGGGGCGTTTGCCTTTCTCAATCCCCAAGACCTGGCCCTGTGACGGGCTTGTGGGAAGGAATAATAACACCCCGTGTTGGGGAGAAGCCGTGTGTATGTGTGTGATGATCTCATCTGGGTGTGATGACCTCATTTGTGTGTATGTGTGTGAGTGATGACCTCATCTTTGTGTGCATGTGTGTGTGTAAGACCGCTTCAGTTTTTCTTTTGGAGAGCCCCCATCTCTTTCTGAGGATCCAGCAGTTCAGGCTCCGAGGTGCTGGAGGGGTACAGTAGCTGCTGGAAGTTCCGAGTATTCCTGGGGGGATAAGCAGCCGGTCATCCCAGAAGCCAGGAAAAGAGGATCCTCCCCAACACACACCTGGCCCCTGCCTCACCTGGCCCCCTGCGTCCGCAGCCGCCCGGTCCTCTCCCGGTACACTTGTTGGAGCTGTTCCCGCAGCGCTCGCCGCTGTCCAGCTGAGTCGTCCTGGAGGGGACACAGGAGGGGGGACACCCGCGGCTGAGCAGACCCGGCTCCCGCCCCGCGGGTGCGGAGCGTCCAGCAGGGGGCAGCATCCAGCAGGGCGCGAGCGGCTTGTGCTTCCCGGGCATGATCCTGGGGACCCCTCCGCCTCCTTAGGGGTGGGGATGGCCTCTGTGTGTGCGCGTGCATGTGTGTGCATGCGTGTGTGCGTGCGCGTGCGTATGCATATGCATGCGTGTGATTGTATGATTGTACGTGTGCATGCGTGTTTGATTGTATGAGTGTGTGTGTGTGTGTGTGTGTGTGTGTGTGTGTGTGTGTGTGTGTGTGTTAGTTACCTGTAGCGGGAACTGCACCTGCTGGAGCGGCGGCCCCAGGGGGTGCACCCGGCAGCGGCGGTTCCTGGCTATGCGCAAGCCTTCCAGGACCTGGGGGCAGGGGTCGCCGTGAGCCTTTACCCCGCCTGGCCTGGCCCGGCCCGGCCCGGCCCGGCCCGCCCCGGCCCGTCCCGCCCCGCCCGCGCCGTCACGCACCCGCAGCCGCTGCTGCTCGCGCTCGTGCCCGCGCCGGCGCCGGGCAGCACGGTGCAGCTCCAGCAGCCGCTGCAGAGCCGACTCCTGCTGCGCGGCGCTCACGCCCGGGACTCGGGCCCACGCGGCTCTCGGGGCTCGGGGGGCCTCGGGAGCGCCGGCCTCGCCGCCCTCCTCCCGCTCCGGGCTTTCTGCAGACTCCTGCACCCCCGGGGGAGCCGCCGGGCCCTCCCGCAGCCCCGAGTCCCTTGCTGTGCAGGCCGCGGGCGTCGCGGCGCCTGGGCACTGGGCGGGATGGGGACCCCCGGCCCCTTCCTGCGCAGGGCCCGGTTTTTGGCCCTGCAGCAGCGGCGGGGTGGTCCTTCCCTGGGGGCCAGGGCCTCCCCTTTCCCCGGGCTGCGGTATCCGTTCTTCCAGGGAGCTGTCCTCGTGCCTCGGAGGGTCCAGGATGTTGCCTTCCTCCTGGGCCTGTGAGTTTCGGCCCCCTGAAGACAGACTCTCCTGTCCCTGCGGAGTCGCCCCCCTGGGCTCCGAGAGGGCCCCGGACCTTGGGCTCTCACTCCGGGGGGCCTCCCCGCTTTGACCTCCGGACACCTCTCCCCTCTCGGGGGTCTCTTCTTCCGGTGCCCGAGGCTGCGCCTCCTCCTCCTGGCGCTGAAGACCCTCAATGCTCAGCAGTTTCTCAAGCTCTGCCAGCTCCCGGCCCCGGTCACCGTACAGCACCCAGCCTGGACCTGGGGGTTCAGGCAGGCCGGAGGACCCCGGGGCTCTCTGGGTTACCACCCTGGCTTCACCACTGTCTTCCCTCCGGGTCAGGTCCTGGAAAGAAACAGGGTGTTGTCCCTGGCTTGTGAGTGGATCCCCCGCTTTTTTTTTGCCTTTTTTTGGGTCACACCTGGCGATGCTCAGGGGTTACTCCTGGCAGTGCTCAGGGGACCATATGGGATCCTGGGAATCGAACCTGGGTCGGCCACGTGCAAGGCAAACTCCCTACCCGCTGTGCTATCACTCTAGCCAGTGAGTGGATCCCTTTTGCAGGGTCCCCGGGCTCCCCATGGTGGCAGGAAGTGACCTGCCTCCCCGTAGCAGCCTCCCACCAGGTGAGCACAGCCGCCCTTGTCCTAGAGACCCAGAGCACCTTCACCCTTTACCATGAGTTTTGAGCCTCCTGGTTCCCCTGCGATGCCACAGCTGCCAGTCGTCAGCTCTGGAAAAGGGTCTGAGGGAGACAGACCCAAGTGTGTGTGTGTGGGGTGGGGGGGGCTCTGAGCATGCCCCCTTCACACATCCCACTATAGCTCCCCAAACCAAGTCTAGGAGCCCCCCCCCACACACACACACATACACATCAGGAGGGAAGGTGGCCTGGGGGGTGCCCTAGGGGCTTGACCTTGAAAGTGGCCAGAGGTTCTCATTTCAGTCTCCTGGGTCAGGCCTCTCTAAGGACACCTTCACTTTATCCTGGGGTGCCCCTCCAGACCCAGAAAGGAGCCTACTGTGTGTCCCGGCTGCGATGTTGCTTAGGAAACTCCTACAGAGAGCCAGGGAGGCACAGAGGACTGGAGCTTACATATGTCTGGCTTACACAGAGCCCCAGATTGGATCCCTGCTGGGATCTCCCCAAAAAAGAAAAGAAAAAAGAAGATCCTCCTTAGGGTCAAGTGACATCATGATAGCCTATCAGTAACAGTATGGTAAACCACAGTGCCTAAAAGGGGGAGAAAAGGAAAAGGAAATTGGGGGAGAGCCAGAGTTCAGCGGGCCGGGGAGCTGGCCTTGCACACGGCCCACCTGGGTTCAATCCCCAGCACCTCTACACGGTCCCCTGAGTGCCCCAGGAGTGATCCCTGAGCACAGAGCTAGAAGTAAGCCCTGAGCACTGCCTGATGTGGCCCCCAAAAAGAAAAAAAAAAAGATACTATCTGTCATAGAGGCAGGCCAGGGAGCCGGAAGGAAAATTGGGATATTGGTGGAGAGAAGTGGAAGGGGTGGGTGTTGGAACATTATAAAACTGAAGCAATCATGAATAACTTTGTTATTCTGTAATTCATGATTCAATTAAAAAAATTTTTTTAAAGAGAGAAAATCCCCCATTGCTCTTTCTTTTTTGTTTGCTTGCTTCTGATGGTAAAAACCACATTGTAATTCAAGAAATGAAATTGTAGTCCAGAGCCTGGCCTAAAAGAAGTGCCCAAGTCTTCATAAAGGACAAAAAAAAATTTAAAAAAATAAGAATAAGGAGCGGGTGTCGCTGCAGCTTGGCCACTGTGCAGGAAGCAGACACTGCGTGCACAGAACCAACCATGGTGCAGGCAGCAGGACTCAGGCTGGGAACCTGCACAAGATAAATCCTTCGTAGGCACCAGCCTCGCGGCCCTTTAAAACAGGAGCCCCAGGCCTGTTCTCGTGAAAGGAAGGCAGTGAGGAGTTTCTAAACAAAAGTGTCGAGAAGACGCTCCAGCCTTTAGATTTATGTGCCATCACGTGTGACAGTGACCCCCGTTCCTTGCTCTTTGAGCATTGCCAGGAATAATTCCTGAGTGCAGAGCCAGGAGTAACCCCTGAGCATCCTCAAGTCTGAACCAAAAAGCAAATAATAATGATAATAATAATACTAATGGGGGTGTGGGGGGAGGACTGGATATTGAAGCTGGACTTTGTGTTGAGGCCTTCTCTGTCTGCCACCCCGACCCAGGGCCTCCTGCGTTTAGCTGCCCGGCCCCTGTCAGCATACCAGGTGTGGGCACTGCAGGCTGGCTCGCCCGTCTTGTGTCACTTCCGGCTTCCTCCTCATCTGCGCACTGGTGCCTGCAGGGATGCCACGGCTGCCTCAGAGGTGCCCTGGACCTCTGGGCGGGGCAAGCGGTCTCTGCTGGTCTCTCAGCCCCCGCCCAGTTGGATCCCAGCAGCTGGAGACAGTGTGTGGGTGTTTTCCGGGGGCTTTAATAAGGCTACAAATAAATGTGGGACCCCAGAGGGGACTTGGGGCAGGTTCTGGAAGAAGACAGGGAACAGCGAGTCTGCTGAATCCCGGGAGGAAGACTCACCCCTCTGGAAATGGACAGCCAAGGTTCAGGGAGTCCGTGGCTTGGGGCGAGGGGCACAGCCCGGAACTCTGAAAGGGGTTGGTGAGGGATCTTGTCCACTGTGTCCTGCTGCAGTATGGCGGGAGGCATCTCGGGCGGTCCCTGATGCCTCCCCACTCCACACCCATACTCATGAGTGTGATTTTCTCCCACCTCGTGCCCAGAAGCAGCTGGGAAGTAGGTCCTGGCTGCCCCCTGGAGCCCTGCTGTCCTTGCCGGCCCTGAGGGCTGGACTTCCTGGGTGCTCTCCACCAACACTCCTGTCCTCCTGGGTGGGGAAAGGCCTGTGGCTGGCGCTGCTCTGGGTCCCAGGCTCGGAATGCTCCCGGCCCGCCTGCCTCGCTCGCTGCAGCCTTGGCTCACGCCTCGGACCCTCCCGCCATCTGGTTTAATCATGACAGCCCTCATTGTGGGGTGGTGTGACAGCACCCCAGAAGACGCTGGCTGAGGGCCAGGGCAGTGCTGCCACTGTGACAGTGGACGAGCCCAGTGGCCCCCGCAGCTGAGCACTGGCTCATGCTGCCACTGCAGACACAGACTGGCAGCTGACCCCATTCCTCTGGGTCCCTGACCATCTGGGTCCCCCTGGGTCCTCAATCATCTGGGTTCCCAACCATCTGGGGCCCCTTCCATCTGGTCCCTACCGCCTGGGTCCCTTCCACCTGGATCCTGTCCATCTACCTCCAAAGCCCACACTCCGTCTGCTTCCCACCCCACCCACACCTCAGGCCCTCTCTCACCCAACTCAGCTGCTCGGAGCCCCCAACCGTGCTCCCACGAGGCTTGTCACACCAGTTCCGCACACCCTGGCCCCAGAGACCGTAAGACTGGGCCCGAGGGGGCCAGAAGAGGCCCAGGCCAGCCCCGGTCAGTAGCTCCAAGTCCCACAGAAGCTGCAGAAAAATGGGGTGCAAGGCATGAAGGGCTGCCGTCCTCCTCTCCCCCTGCCCCCCCCCCCCCCTCAGCCAGCCCCTACCTGCTCCTGGGCCTGGCGGCTCTGCTCCATGTCCAACAGCATGACAGGCAGCTCCAGGCCTGGGGGACAGACTCGGCTCTCTGGCACCTGGGGAACAAGGTGGAGTGGGGCTCCCGCCGCGTCCCCCACCCCCGACTTAGAGCCCCCTATCCCTCACCTGCTGCAGAGCAGCCTGGAGCTGGCCCAGGCCAGCAGGGCACCCAAAGAGGTGCCGGTACAAAGCCAGGGCCTGCTGGGCACTGCACGGGAGCCTGAGACACCGGGGCATGGCCGCCTGCTTGTCTCCCCGCACGCCTCTGCCACAGGACAACTCAGGCCGCCGGGCGTGAAGGGACAAAACCCCCAGCTCAATAATTCAGGGCTGACATCTGAGCCAGGCTGGGCCGAGTCACGCCTCAGCCAGGACTCTTGCTCAGACTGGGTTTCATGTCATGGGCAGTGTGAGGAGAGTGACCTGCTGGAGGGGTGCTTACAGGCAGGCTTGTTTGCAACCCCAGAATAGGGTGCATATGCCCTTGTGCATACACCCACCGGTGGTATATCCCCATGTATATACAGCATGCACATATACTCGTGTGCATGAAACACTATTTGCGGGGCTGGAGTGATAGTACAGTGGGTAGGGTGTTTGCCTTGCACGCGGGCAACCTGGGTTTGATTCCCAGCATCCTATATGGTCCCCCAAGCACCACTCAGGAGTAATTCCTGAGTGCATGAGCCAGGAGTAACCCCTGTGCACCACCGGGTGTGACCCAAAAAGAAAAAAAATCTACCATTTGCATATTTCTGTGTGCATATAGCCCTGAACAAATACCACGTACATATAGTCGTGTGCATATGCCTGTGTGTACACCCCTGAATGAATACTGTGTATGTAGACCAGTGTGCCTACGCTCATTGCACACACACGAGCACATACCAGACAACATACACCCCATGTGCACACACCCATAGCATTTAGTTGGCGATCATGCTACGAATCCATGCCCCAGATGGGCAGTGGGTACCAGCTGGTCACTCTGTGCCTCACACGTGTGCCAGCATAGCCCATGAAGCAGGTGTACCCTTCCCAGTGGTGTGAATGAAGGTGGCACTGTCCCTTCATCTGGGGGCAGCTGGTGTGAGAAACAGGCTGGGGATACATGACCCCACGGTGACCACGAAGTAAGGCCTCACCTCACTCCCCAGCCCAAATCATCAGTGAAGGCCCCGAAAGCACCAGCCTCACAGCCAGAGAAGAGCAAAGACCCAGAAGAGTTTGGGAGGCCGGGGAGGTGGCTCGGAATTGATGTTCTGGCTTTGCATACAGGACCAAGTTCTATCCCCATACATGGTCTTCGCATGAGCACAACTGGGAGGGACACCTGAGTATCAACTATTGGTTTTGGCCCACAAATAAACAAACAAACAAACAAAAAACAAACAAACAAGGGACTGGAGCAATAGCACAGCGGGTAGGGCATTTGCCTTGCATGTGGCCAAACGGGTTCGATTCCCAGCATCCCATATGGTCCCCTGAGCACTGAGTAACCCCTGTGCATTGCCAGGTGTGACCCAGAAAGCAAAAAACCCCCCAAAACTCAAAAAACAAAAACCCCAAACAAAAAGCTCTTGGAACCAGAGAGATAGTTACAGGGGTGAAGGCACCCGCCTTGCACGCAGCTGAGCCCAATTAGATCCCCGGCACTACATGGCCTCCCAGCACCACCAGGAGACTCAGGCATCTCCAGCACCTCAGCACCGAACATCATTTCATCCTCGGGTCCTTGCATTAAACCCCCAGCCCAACTGGCCGAGAGTCACTGGGAGGGGCCCTGGGCCTTGAGAGCCCCCCAAACACACAAAGACGCACACAAACAAGGAAGAGCTGCCTTTAGAGAGAAACTTCCCAAAGAAACAGGTTTTGGGCCAGTGACCAGTGTGTCCACTCTATAAGCAGGAGGTGGCGAGCTCAGTGCCCAGCACTGCCCACAGGTTGCTTGGGACCCCGGTGGGCACCACAGCTGTGTGTGAGCTCCGAAGGCAAGGGTGCAGGTCACAGCTACAACAGCAGCAAAGGGTAAGTGAGACCCAGACTACAGGTAGCCGGGGGCTGAGAGGCAGCACAGCGGGCAGGGCGCTGGTCTTGCACATGGCCGACCTGGGTTCAACCCTGGCACCACATGTGGTTCCCCCAGTACAGAGCTAGAAGTGATCCTGGAGCACTGCCGGGTGCGGTCCAAATGCTTCAGAAAAATCATTTCAGGTAGTTTTCTATTTCACAATCCATATTCTTATCCCACAGGGGTCTTTGAAAGCCGAGACCCCCGTCTTGCGTGTTCATCTCTGGGAAGTGCAGTGAGCGAGTGTGGGGGCCACACCCTGGGTTCGAGGTGTCTGTGTGTGCACGCACACCTGATCATGTTCCCGCAGGACCTCATGTGTCCCCTGCTCCCCAGCTCAGGCCCAGGGCACCCACCCCCCCACAAGTTCCTAGAGTGAATGTTAGTCCTGCCCCAGGGCTTCTGGCTGGGACTGGACAGTGCCTTGTGGGGCAAACCTCAGGTGAAACACAGTGGGGCCTTGAGTTCTGCCCAATCCCAGGTAGCCCACAAACAGGCAGGAAAAGCAGACTTCAAGGGGCTTCCAATCCTCACCAGGTCTCATGAAGATTCACAGAGGGTCCACATGGGGGCGCCCACGAGGCGTGAGTGGGCACCCGAACTCCGCCTCTGGGGATTTGGTTCCCAGGCAGCAAGGGTCAAGGTCACTGTCACTGTCCTCTCGGTTTTTTTTTTTTGCTTGAGCGGGCCCAGTAACGTCTCCATTTTGAGACTTGTTGTTACTGTGTTTGGCATATTGAATACATCATGGGTTAGCTTGCCAGGCTTTGCTGTGCTGGCAAGATACTCTCGGTAGCTTGCCGGGCTCTCCAAGAGGGGCGGAGGAATCGAACCCAGCTCGGCCTGGCTGGCTGTGCGCAAGGCAAACGCCCTACCGCTGTGCTATCCCTCCAGCCCTGTAGGTAGAGACAATACCGGGGTGCAGGGCTGAGCCCCTGTAGCTGCTCCGTTCCTCACTCTGAAGACAACCCCGCGGTCCCAACAGCCTGGGGTTCACCCAGCTCCAGGAAGAAACTCACACACACACACAGGAAGGCTTTCGGGGGTGTTTACTGCTGCTGACAGAGGGGCAGGAGGGAGGGACACTCTGCAGCTCCGGCCAGGCTGGGCACTGCCCTGCAGTAGACACGACTGACCACATGAATCCCGACAGGGCTGGGTGGTTCAGGGTGCGGTTCCCTGGGCTTCGGGTTGGGTGCTGGGGTGTGGGTCCTCGGAGACGAGCACCGGGGGGCAGGCCTCGGGCAGGATGCAGCGGGCCTCGTGCTCCACCAGGCCGGCTGGGCACTGGCAGCCGGGCACACAGGGCCTGACGCAGTGGGCCGCCAGCTCGCCCAGGGGCACGTGCCGGTTGAAGCAGGTGCGGGGGCACGGCGGGCCGCATTCGTCGAACAGGAAGCCTCGGTCCAGGGGGCAGCCCATCGCTGCGGGGATGGGGAGATCAGGGCACAGTCACCCCCACCCGGTCACCCACCTGCACGCACCTCCCCCACACTCCCCGTCCCCCCCCCCTCGGCGCCCTGTCCCCTCACCACAGAGCGTGGGGCCCCTCCAGGCTGGCGTCACCCCTGCCTGGCGACAGTGGCTGGCATAGGCCGCCAGGGCAGCACAAAGACAGGCATCAGCTGAAGCCCCAGGGCCGCAGGCACAGAGGTCATACACGCAGGCAGCAAAGAAGGGCTCAGGGGGCACCACAGCATGGCAGCGGCTGAACGGTGCTGACTTGAGCACCGCACAGCGGGTGTTGGCCTCGCGCCGGGCCCGGTAACCCGCGGCCCGGCACGGATCCACCTCTCGGCCCTTGGAACAGGCTCGGCCAGGTCCTGGCCCCTCAGGGACCTACAGGGGGGTGGGGTGAGGGAGGAGCAAGGCTGAGGGGTCAGCGCCCAGGAGAGGTGGGGTCTGCTCCCCGCTCTCTGAGGCACTTCCCACTGGCCTCTTGGAAAACCTCCCACTAAGAACTGCAAAGGGAGCACCAGCTGTTTTCTTTCTGCTCCCAGTTTACAGACAGACAAACCAAGGCCCAGTGTAGGTGGGAAAAATAGCCACTTTTGGGGGGGGTTGGGGAGGGAGAGGATTTCTGGGCTACACCCAGCGGTGCTCAGGGCTTACTCCCGGCTCTGCACTCAGGAATGACTTCTAGCAGCGCTCCAGGGACCATGTGGGATGCCAGGGGTCGAACCCAGGTTGGCCACATGCAAGGTGAACATCCTCCCTGCTGTACTATCGCTCCAGCCGCCTAGGCAGATAGCCTTGGTGCTTGCCTCCCCCAACACAGAGACCCTCAGAGCCCCAACCCCCTTCCGTAGCATAGGGAGCTTCCCTCAACAGACCTGCCCACAGACCAGCTGGGTCCTCTCACCTGCCAACTGTTCCCAAACGCAGCCGCGGTGCGGAGTGTCTGTCCCCGTGGGTTCTGCAGGTCATCCTGGGCGAAGCCATTGAAGTTCCCGCAGAGCCCACAGACCTGGCCCCGGTAGGAGCCGGGCACTCTCACCTCCACCTGGGATTGCCCATCCCACAGCACCTGTGAAGAAATGCTGGGATTCTAGGCGGTGGGGAAAGTAGGGACCCGGCAGTCATCCTGGCCCTGGGGTCAGCGCGCCCCCTACTGGTGCAGAGGAGAATGGCAGGTGGCGGCTGCCCAGAGCCAGTTCCCGCAAGCGTCCAGCCCGGGGCGCACGAGGTACCTCGACAGCCAGGATGCCCTGGACATCCCCGAAGTGGGCTCTTGGCTGGAATAGAAACCCACACCCAGAAACACACTTTCTGGACGCCAGCTGGGACTCCCAAGGACAAATCACAAATGACCCAGATGAAAAGACACAAACCTTCATCTGTGGACGGGCCAGGGGCTTCACTGGACCACGGAGTGAGTGACTAACAAGAGAACTGGACTGAACCTCTAATCCTTCAGCCCTGCTTCCTCCCCCCCCCCCAACCCCCGCCTCTCCGCCCACGAACCCTTCACCACCCTCCAGGTGAGGCAGCTGAGATGTGGAGCGAGTGGGTGCCGGCCGAAGGAGGCGGGTGGTAGAAAACAGACCCCTTGAGAGGGCAGGGGGTGGGCCAGGGAGGGGCCAACACCAGTGGGGAGGGAAGCCTTCAGCCGGGAGGCGGAGGTGGTGCTGAAAGGCCGCAAAATGTACACATGAAACCGTTTCAGCTGTAAGCCACAGTGCAAAAGCGGGTTTATAAAGAGCCTCCTGGGGTTGGAACAGTAGCACAGCGGGTAGGGCATTTGCCTTGCATGCGGCCGGCCGACCCGGGTTCGATTCCCAGCATCCCTTATGGTCCCCCGAGCACCGCCAGGAGCAATTCCTGAGTGCATGAGCCAGGAGTAACCCCTGTGCATCGCCGGGTGTGACCCAAAAAGCAACAAATAAATAAATAAATAAATAAATAAAATAAAAGCCTCCTGTAGAAGCAGCAGGTGGGAAGGAGGCAAATGGGGTGGGGGTGGGATTGGTGGAGAGAAGTGGACACCTGAAACCCCATCATGTAAGTTTGTGATTTCACAGTGACTGAAAAATAAATTCATAAAAATATATGATAAAAAACCACAACAGTTCAGGAACCATATATATATATGTATATATGTGTGTGTATATATATATATATATAGAGAGAGAGAGAGAGAGAGAGCTCAATAGGCTGAGTTTTCTTCACATGCAGGGGTGGGGACTATACACCCAGCACCATCGGGAGTGGTCCACTGAGCACTGCGAGTACCCTTGGGCCTCCTGAGGTGTGGTCCAGAACAAAACAAAAACCAAAAACACACAAACCGCTCTTAGAAACCAGGTTGGAGGGGGTGGTGAGATAGTACTGTGGGTAGGGCATTTGCCTGGTTCTCAGTCAGCCCGGGTTTGATCCCGGGCATCCCGTATGGTCTCCCAAGCATTGCCAGGAGTAACTCCTGGGTGCAGAGCCAAGAGTAATCCCTGAGCATCACCGGGTGTGACCCAAAATTAAAACAAATACCTATATTTAACTAAAAAAAAAACAGGCTCAGCACTCCAGCCAGTGAACCCCAAGTCTCTGCTCCCCTGTCTGCCGCCTTCAGAATCCAGAAAACGTCCTCACTTTAGTGACCTGGTTTGACCAGGGGAGTCAGTTCCCCTCCTTCTAGAGACAGAGACTCAGTGTCCAGCCCCCCACCCTGTCCCCCCCTCCCCAACCCCCACCTGGAGCCCAGGCTGGGCGTGGAGGATCACGGTGCTCCCCCTCAGCTCCACGTACAGCAGCGGCTCCCGCAGGAAGGGCAAGGCCACCGGCTGTCCTTCTACCTGCAGGGGGGAGGGGGTGCAGTGGGGGGCACGTCAGGACCCCAGTCAGTGGACCCCGCGGCACCCATCTCCACCCGGGCGGGTCCTCGCCTCTGCTCACCGTGACCACGCCGTCTTGCAGCAGCCCCACGGTCACGTGCCCCAGCAGCACCGTCACCTCCTGGGTCCAGGACACGCCGCTCCGGCCCCGGCCGTCATTGGTCACCTGCACGCTGCATTGGGAGAGCCCCACTTGCAGCGGTCAGCTGGGGGTGGGGGAGGGACCTGGGAGGAGGCAGTGCGCACCTGAAGTCCCCTCCCCCGCAGTCCTTGGCCAGCACGTAGCTGCAGCTGCCCTGGAAGTGCAGCAGGCGGCCGTCGAAGGTGCGGTAATGGGGGTCTCCGAAGGCCATGCAGGAGGCGGGCCGCGGCAGGCAGCGGGGGCAGCAGCTGCCGGGACTCAGGGCCGGCGCCTCGTCCTGGTCGCAGCCCCAGAAGCCACCATCAGACAGACACACGGGGCTCCCTTGGGCTCCCTTGGGTCCCGCGTCCCGTCCTGTCCCGCCACCCGAGAGTGGGCACAGAGCACCACCTCGTGGCAGTTCCTGGAACTGCACCCCCTCCTGGGTTTCCCCCCTCAAGGCTGTCCAACCCTGGCGTGCCCTCCTGGCCTATTCGCGCCAGAATGACAGCGCCCAGTGCCCAGCTTCCAGGTCCGGGTCACTCACGGGGCCACAGGTGAGCGGCGGGCAGCGCTGGCTCTGGCAGCGCACGGTGCCCGCCACGCAGGAGCAGCTAGTGCAGGCGTCCACCACCCAGCGCTCCCCGGAGGGCACCTCCCGGCCCTGGTGCAGGCAGGACTGAGCTGGGACTGAACGGACAGGACGGGGGAGGGTCAGCTGCCCGTCCCCCACCCTGGACCTCACTCTCCACCACCCTCCCCATCCTGACCAGCACCTTGGCATTGCTCACAACAGCTGCCAGCTTCCGGCTTCTTCACCCATCCCCGCGGACAGTCCAGGGCTTGGCACTCCTCCCGGCGGCACTCGACGTGGCCCCGCTGAGGACGGAAGTCACTGCTCTAGGAAATCCCTGCAGATCTCGGGGTTTCTGGCCTCACATTATTTTGGGGGTCCTCCCGAGACATGGTGGGAAGCCGCTGCCCTTTCTCCCTTGCTGGTAGGAGGGAGCCTCAGCAACCTCTGTCCAGTGCGCGATATTCCGTCTCGCCACCAGGGGCGCCATTCCCCAGTGTCCCCTAAACACCCCTACCCCTTGCCTGGGTAGAGGGGTCACTGCAGGTCACTCCCCCCTTTGGGTTTCTCGGAGGGGTACACACGCCCCCTCGCGCCCCGCTCACATGGCACGTGCAAGCAATGCAGGCGTCGTGGGGGTCCCGCCAGCTCTCCCCATCTGCCACCCTTCTGCCATCAGGCTCCAGCACGCATTCTGGAAAGGAAGAAATGGGAGCGGGCTGGAGCGATAGCACAGGGGATGGGGCATTTGCCTTGCACGCAGCTAACCTGGGTTCGATTCCCAACAACCCATATGGTCCCCCCAAATACCGCCGGGAGTGATTCCTGAGTGCATGAGCCAGGAGTAACCCCTGTGCATCGCTGGGTGTGACCCAAAAAGCAAAAAAAAAAAAAAAAAGGCGGGAGGGAGGGGCTGTCCCTCCAGCTGCGTCCCTGGCCCCCAGTATTGGGTGTTCCCTGCTGTCACTTGCATCCCAGGGGCCTAGTTGATGACGGTTCTGCTTCTGCCCAGACAGCGGGAGAATGACCAGGGTCCCAGCCCAAGGGAAGACTCAGTCCAGCTCTTGAGAACTGAGCTTCTGGTCCCTTCCCACCGGCAGGGTCTCCGTACCCCCATTTCCTTTTCTTCCCCTTCATGCATTTATTTATTTTTGGTTTGGGGGCCACGACCGGCTGTGCTCAGGTCTTACTCCTGGCTTCATGTTCCGGGATCACTCCTGGCACAGCTCGGGGACATATGAGGTGCCGGGCATTAAACCTGGGTCAGTCGCGTGCAAAGCAAAGGTGCTCCTTGCTGTACACCCCCCTACCCCTTTTCTACAACCTAACAAAACAACGAAGGCGGAATTCTGAGCATAGTTGCACCCCACCCTCCCACCAGACCACCCACTTGTCCCCAGGCCACACTGTCCCACCTAGCTGCTACCTGCTTTGAGGTCGAGGCACCTACCAGGGCACACGGGACAGCAGCTCCCTGGGGAGCTCCGGCGCTCTGAGCGGGGGCAGCTGAGTTCAGGACAGTCCTGGTGCACGCAGAGCCAGGTCAGATCCTGGGGGAAGAGGGGTGCATGGCAGGGGGAGGGTGGCAAGGGAGGGGGCGGGCGACACTCAGAACAGTGAGCAGTAGGGGGAGCAGGGGGTCCCCAAGCTGCCGCAGGGGACTCAGAGAGGGGCTCAAGGTGGGGCTCACCTGGCACTGGCAGGTGTAACAGGGGTCCGGTGGGGCCAGCTCAGCCCCCAGCAGGCTCTCGGTGCAGTTACTCAGCGCCTCTGTGCAAACAGGAAGGGGTGCAGAGGGGGAGGGTTGGTGGACCCCAGCTATTGTGAGCCAGACTTCTGGGGTTCAGAGAGAGCCCCTTGACCCTGGGAAGGAGAAATCCTTTCCCCACTGGCCTAGCTAAGCGACTGGGGATGTGGGTGCTGGAAGTGACCTCCAGTCCAGGTCACTGAGGGCCTCCAGCTTTCGGGCCTGTCCCCCCGTGCCCCCCCACGCTTCTCCCCTCCGTCACTTTCCTCCACTTTGTCTGCCTGAAACCGTTCAATCCCAGCGCCTGCACTTGTGTCCTGGGCCTTTGGGGCAGATGAACCAACCTCTCTGGGCCTTAGAGTCCTCAACCATCAAAGCGGGCCCAAATTCCCAGTTTACTGAGCAAGGGTGAGAATGACGGGGGATGATTATGAAAGCATCGGGCAGAGGGTCGGACATGGCTCAAGTGGCAGAGGGCATGTCTGGGCACGGTTCCTGGCACCACATGGCTCCGTGAGTAACACACACACACACACATCCGCCCCCCACCCCCACCCCGCCGGTTTCCCCTGAAAGACATCCTGGCCAGCGTGGGTAAGACTGGACTCGCCCCCACTAAGCCAGCACGGCTGCCCACAGCGCCCCCTGCTGGGCATCCTGTGCCACGCATGCACTTCTGAGTGGCCGGTCAGAACAATCTTCCAGAACAGTCCTCTGGACCCAGTAAAAAAAAGCTGGTTGGCTCCACCAGCATCACTCTGGGGGGTGGCGGCCTTCCCCTCCCCTCTCCCCCCACATCAGGGCACTCACGGGCACAGGTGGGGCAGCAGCGCTGGGGCCCAGGGGGCAGGAGGTGGTTGGGGGTGCAGCCCACCAGGCTAGGACACTGGCGCCGCTGGCAGCGAAGGCTGGGGGGGCCCTCGGGTGGCAGCTGCAAGAAGGAGCAGGACATGGGGCCAGGCCTGGGGGGGTGAGGTGCCTTCCGCCCCTGGGCCCCACGACCTGACTCTGAGGTGCCCTCTGCCCCCTGACCCCTGAGGTGCTCCCTTCCCCACCCCCTGACTCCGAGGTGCTCTCTGTCCCAAGACCCCAAAGTGCTCCCTTTCCCCTGATCCCGAGGTGCCCTCTGCCCCTGACCCAAGGTGCCCTCTGCCCCATGACCCCAAGGTGCCCTCTACTCCCTGACCCTGAGGCATCCTATTCCCTGCAACCCCAGGTCGCTCCATCTTCTGGGAGCTTCCTGCCAGATTCTGGGCTGAAGACACTCAGCGAACCCAGATCAGCCCCCATGGTCACCAGTTCCTGGTGCTCCTCTTTCCAGAAGCCTGGGTCTGACCCGCCACAAGTCTGACCGCCTGGACGCCGTGCCTGGCCTCCTCGCTCCTGGCTCCCAGGGGGCCATCTGCCTGCTCACAGCTCTTCCCTTCCAGAGGCCCCTCCCAACTTCCCTGGGGTCACCAGCCCTCCACACACCCACCCTCTGCTCCAGCAGGAGTGCCTGCCCACTGCCCACCCCATCTGGCACGAGTGCCCGAGTCTACAGTCCGGTGACCCCTCATGCCTCAGCCCGCCGCCCCGTCCCCCTGCACCTACCTCGCATACACACACTTCGCAGGGGTCTGAGCCGGGCTGGAAGGTGTCCCCTGGCTCCCATAGGCGCCTGCTGTGCTCACAGCCTCGGGTGCGAGTGGCAATGGCGTGGGGGACCTTCGGGCTGGCAGCAGTGCCTGGGAGGGGTGGTCTCAGTGCCCCAGGGTCCTCCCAGTCCCAGGGATGAGAATGGGTCCCCTCCGCAGTCCCCACCCCAGGCTCCCTACCGGGGCAGTGGGGACAGCAGTCTCCAGGGGCCTGGTGCGGCTGGGCGCAGGCGCTGACACACTGGACGGGGGCGCAGGTGGCCACGCCCTCATGACACAGGCAGGAGGAACAGGGACGGTTGTGGGGCACCCAGGTGCTGCCTTCAGGGTGCTCCTCCCCGTCAGCCATGCAGCCTGCGGGGGAGGAAGGGGCGCTGAGGTTGAGGGCTCAGGTCTGGCCCCGGGCCCCGCACCCCGGGGGGCTGCAGGGAGGAAGGAGGCAGATGGTCTGGGGGCCTCAGATGGCTTGTGTCCACCGGAGTAGCTCGGAGGTCCTGCCTGCCTCACCAGGGGCGGCTAAGGGAGGCTCCTAGCGGGTGGCAGGGGGCCCGGGGCTGGTCATGGTGCTGCCAGTGGTGGCATCTCAGCGGGCTGCAAGGTGGCAATTGCAAGGAGGCTGTGGTCTGCTGAGGTCATGGGTGGCTTGGACAGGTGGGACACGCTGAGCTCAGGCCCTGACCCCTGATTGTGGTTATGACTACGGACGGTGCAGACAGGCAGGGTGGGTCTGACCTACCCAGGAGGGGTAGGGGTGGAGCTGGAGGATCTAAGAGGGGAATGGCGGGGCGGGTGGGAGTCAGGGGCAGTTCTGACAGAGCTGGACACACCTCGGCAGCGCGGGCAGCAGCTCCCCGGCTCTGTGACCTGAAGTGGACAGGACAGGTGCGGGCACCGCAACCGCGTGCAGCTGATCTGGCCAGCCTGTGGGATAGACAGGGTCACGGCCCAGCCCCTGGCCTGGACATCCCTGGGGCCAGCCCCTCTGCCAGGGGCCCTCTGTACCTCACAGCGACAGCTCTCACAGCTGCCAGGCGGCCCCTCGAACTCCTCCCCATCCAGGTGCTCCCGGCCCTGGGACACACAGCCTGAAGCGGGAAATGTGTCCGGGCTGAGGGCTGGGCTTCCCCCGACAGCCCCCACCCAACCCTGCCTGGCAGAAGGGAGGGGGGAGGGCGGGCGCAGAGCCGCTCACTGTGGCAGACGGGGCAGAGACAGGGCCCTGGAGACGGCTGTGGGCACAGCGCTGGCGGGCACGGCTTCCTCTGGCAGCGTATGGATCCTTCCTGGGGTGAGAGGGCGCCCTGCGGTCCCTGCGGCCCGCACCGCACCCCCACATGCGGCCCCCACTGACCCTGCCCACCTCCTTCCCTGGGGGAGCCCAGTCCTGCCCACTAGAGGCTGCAGGCGGAGGGTCATGCCGCAGGGCGCGGGGAGGGCAGTGGGGCCCACCTGGCAGCTGCAGACAGAACAGGAGGGGTCCAGAGGGTCAGCGATGGTCTCTCCGGGGCCGACCGAGATGCCGTGGTAGAGGCATCCTGGCAGAGTGGGGCAGAGTGGGAGAAATGCTGCCATGGACACACACACATACACACACACACACATACACACACACACACATGTACACACCCAAACAGACACACCATGTACACATGCAGGTCTGCAGCAATCTGACTGCAGAGATGCACGTGCACATATACACACATGAATATATGCAGAAACAATATACACACATATACACACATTCATGAACACACGCAAACACATGTGCATATATACATATGCACACATGCACACACAGGGTCTTCAGAGTACCTGCAGGCATATGAGGATATGCACTCCTGCACACACACATACAGATGTACAATACACACGTGAGTATACACATACATTCATACTCATGTACAGAAGCACATACAAGCACAATCTATGATCCACAGGCCACTAGACACATGTGTGGATGTACACACACAAATGCACACACGCACAGATAGACATGTGCATGAGTGTGCAAACAAATATACACACATGTGCACCTGCAGGCAGATACATGAATATGCACAACCCACAAAGGCACGCACACATAGACGTGCAATACAGACACAGATGCATACAGCAGCATGCACACACACGCACACAGCATGCTCCTGGACCACAGGTGTGCATACACAGTCAGACACGCAGAGAAACACCCCTCCCGCAGCCTGGGTTCTAGAGTGGCAAAGGGAGTTGGGGTGGGGAGGCCCCAGGGTAGACATGTGATGGGTGTGGCTGACGGGTGGGTGGGTGGGTGGCACAGGAAGGGGGCCTGGGGGAACAGGCCCTCCCGGCAGTGAGGGGAGCAGGGGCCGGGCTCGGGAGGGGGCTGAGGGAGGCGGGAGAGGCCGGCCGCAACTGTGATGGAGACTGTGGGTCAGGGGAGTTCTGGGGCCCAGAGACGGGCCATGAAAGAGGCAGTGCACAATCACAAGGCAGAAGACAAGGGGTCTGTCTGTGAGAGGTGACGGAGGCCAGGGGGAGGGGACCAAACCCGGGCTGGCTGCAGGGCTGGGGTGTGACCGCCTACCCTGGCACGTGGGGCAGCAGAGGCCCGGGGGGGTGAGTGGATGGCTGCAGGCCGGGGGCTCACAGGGCCGGCGGGTGCAGGTGACGAAGCCCTCGAGACAGCTGCAGGCCCCGCAGGGCTCACGGGGGTCCGGGAAGTCCTGGTGGTTCAGGTAAGACTCCCCGAGATACTCACAGCCTGGAGAGGGGCAGAAGGAGGGCAGGAGGGAGAGGTCAGCGTGGCAGAACACAGTGGGGGGGTGGGCAGGGAAGGCCGCTGGGTGGGGCGGGTGGCTGCCTCTTCCCCCTTCAGCCTGGGACCTCCGAGTTCTTTATGGTCTGTTTGCTTGCTTTGGTTTGGGGGGCCACATCTGCTGGGGCTTGGGGACCATGTGTGGTGCCAGGGGTTGAACTGGGCACCATGTTCTCTGTGCGATATCTCTGGGCCCATGTGACCTATGGCTTAGACACAGACCTGGGGGCAGGACCCAGTGGGCTGTAGCCTGGACAGAGGGCAGCAGCTTCCCAAGCCTGAGGGGCCGGGGGTGGGGGTGGGTGCGGAACCCAGGTGCCCCCTTTCTGATGTTTTTAGGCACTCTCAGGAGGGGCGAGTGCGGAGGCAACCGGACCTTGGATGCTATTCCCCTCACCTTTTTTTTAAAGTTTTGGGGGCCACATCCATCAGTGCTCAGGGCTTACCCCTGGCCCTGTGCTCAGGGGACCACGTGATGCCCGGGATTTGAATTTGCATCAGTGGGGTGCAAAGCAAGTGCTTTACTCCTCTGCCATCTCTCCATGCCACCCCCCTCTTTATTTAATTTCTTTTGGAGGATACCCCTAGTGGTGGTGCTCAGGACCCCAACGGAATCAGGCCTGGGAGCTGGGCCCCCCTCAGGCATTGCCTGCAGGCCGCCCTCTGGGCCTGGGGTCTTGGTCTGCAGAGAGGGGCAGGGGTCAGCTCTGGGGCTCTCGCCCTGCATGCAGCTGAGCCCCGTAGGGTTCCCTGGGCACCTCTGGGGGTGCTCCCCTGAGCACGGCCAGCTGTGGCTCAATTCCCCCCAATTCTGCAGCCCCTGGCCCCCGCAGGACAAGAAAGATGCCACTGCCCACCCCATCCCCCGCCACCAGTGCTCTCACCATTGCAGGCTGGGCAGCAGCTGCCCCTGGCAGGGAAGGGGCAGGGCGCAGGGGCACAGACACGGGGGGCACAGCTGACGCTGCCCTCCCAGCACAGGCAGTCATGGCACGCGGCAGCAGGAGAAGGGAAGCGCTCCCCGCTGGCGAACTCCTTCCCCTCATAGAGGCAGCCTGGGGGTGGGGGGGTGGTGAGCAGACAGGGCTGGGGTGCTGGTGGGTGGGGGCCCCCCCAAATTTGGCAAGGACCCCGATGTGGGAAGATTTAGGACCCGGGGCTGGAGAGAGGGGGAGTACGAGGGGTAAGGCTCCAGGGCAGGTGTGGGTACCAGCTGGGCAGCCTGGTCATGGCATACCCTGGCAGGAGGGGCAACAGGGCCCGGGGCGCGGGTGGGTGCAGATGGCGGGCGGGCAGGGCAGCGGCTGGCAGGACACGGAGCCGTGGAGGCACACGCAGCGGCGGCAGGGGTCGCCCGGCAGGGAGAAGGACTCCTGGTGGGGGAGTGCCCCCGTGTCCCCTGGCAGCGCGCAGCTGGAGAGGGCAGCTGGGGATGGGCCTAGGTCAGGGGAGAATGCAGAAGCACCCCCCAGGAGTGGCCTCAGGGGTGCAGCTCCTACCCGGGCACTGCGGGCAGCACTCCCCGGGCTGCAAGAGAGGCTCCGCACAGGACAGGGGTGGGCAGCGGCGGGCCAGGCACTGCACGTGTCCACTCTGCAGGGTAGGATATATGCACACAGGCTATGCATGCGGGAAAATGCACACAGGCTATGCACATGGAGATATGCTCATAGGGATATGCACATAGGCTATACACGCAGGGATACGCACATGGGGATATACACACAAGCCATGCACATGGGGAAAAGCACATGGGAATATGCATATGTGGATATGCATACGGGGATAAGTATATGGGATATGCACACGGGGACATGCACATGGGGATACGCACATGGGAATATATATATACAGGGATATGCACATGGGAATATGTACACAGAGATATGCACTTGGGATATGCACATGGGGATATGTACACAGGGGCAAGGACTCTCTGTACATATCCCCATATCCACACTCAGGGATATGCACTCAAGGATATGCACACAGGATATGCACATGGGATTTACACACAGGGATATGCACTCTGGGATATACACATGAGGATTTGGACTTGGATATACACACAGGATATATACTCAGGGATATGAACACAGGATATGCACATAGGGATATGTACTCAAGGATATGCCTATATACCCTCAAGGATATATACACACAGAATATGCATACACAGGATATACACTCAGGAATATGCAAATGGGAATATACATATGGGATATACAAATGGGACAGGCACACAGGAATATATACAGGGGATATGCACAGGGATATGCACGTGGAGATATGCACACAGGAATGTGCACATGGGGATATGCACTTTGGGATATACATGTGAGGATATGGACTTGGATATACACACAGGGATATGCACACAGGATATGCACATGGGTATATGCACTCAGAGATAAGTCCATGGGGATATACACATAAGGATAAGCCCTTAAGGATATATACACAGAATATGCATACACAGGATATGCACTCAGGAATATGCACATGGGAATATATATATATGAATGGGATATACAAATGGGGATAAGCACATAGGGATATGCACATGGGGATATGCACACAGAACTATGTACACAGGAAATGCACAGGAGCATATGTGCATGAGGATACGCACTCGGATGTGCATGCAGGATATGCGTAGGAATGTACCATGTGGGATATACATTGTACGGTTTATGCATGGGAGATATGGAAACTTCTGGGATTACAACAAAACCCCATGGGGGGTTACCCCTGGGGGTCTCAAGTCCCAACCCCCACTCACTGCCTCCTGTGTGTGCCCGGACAGTGGCGGGGAAAGACTCACCAGACAGTGGCACAGGCGGCAGGGGTCCGAGGGGTGCGGGAAGTCGGCCCCATTGGGGTACTCTTTGCCACCGAAGGCACAGCCTGGGGGAGGGGCGGCTGTGGGTTGTGGGAGCCCGGGAGGAGGGGGGTCCCTTCCCCAACCCTCAGTGTCCAGGGCGGACCAGGAGACCCCCAGCCCCCTTGCATACACCTCACCCTCGCAGTCATTCTGGCAACAGAGGCCCGGCAGCGGGTGGGCGCAGAGGGCGCTGGGGCAGGGCCGGAGCTGGCAGCGGGCCTCGCCATCCCGACACTGGCATTCCTGGCAGGGGTCTCGGGGGTGAGAGAAGCTCTGGCCATCCACAAACACCTGCTGCTCCAGGACGCAGTCTGGGCGGGCGGGCAAAGGCGGGGGATGCTGAGGCCCTCGCTCAGCGCCCTCTGCCCGAGTCTGGCGGGGGCGGGGGGTGGGAGCCCGTTTCCGCACACGCGGGTACCGCAAGCTGCAGACTGGGAGCGCTGCCAGGCTGCGGCGCCTCGCGGGGGCACAGTCTCGGTGCGCACAGGCGGGCTAGGCGCGTGCCTGACCCAGCGTCGCTGAGAGAGGCCACGTCTAAGTAGCCGGAATGGTGCCCAGGAAGCAGCAGCCTGGACTCTCCTCCATCCCACGCTGCGCGTTCCAGAGTGTTCTGCCCCGGGAGGATGGGGTATAGGTCCCCGGGGCCAGGGAGCATCTGGGCCACCTACCTGGGCAGCTGGGGCAGCACTGGCCGAGGGCCATCTTGGGCGTGGCACAGGTAGTGGGAGGGCAGGGGATCGGGGAGCAGTGCACGGTCCCGTCCTGAGAGCAGGAAAACGGCGCTGCAGGGGGCCTGGGGGGTGGGGCAGGCCACCAGGGCAGCGGGCGCGGTGTACCTGGCAGTGGCAGGTGTGGCACGGGTGGTCCATGTCCTGGAAGTCCTGCCCGTTGGCAAAGACGTGGCCACTGTAGGTGCAGCTGTCACAGACGGGGCAGCAGGCACCTGGGCGGAGGGCGGGGTGAGCAGCGCCCTTGAGGGACCTGGGCTGGGGGGGAGGGGCACTCACCATCAGGCTGGGTGGGGTGCTCGCAGGCTGTGGGGGTGCAGAGCACAGCCCCACATGAGGGCACCCCATCGCGGCAGGAGCAGCTGGTGCAGGGCTGGCCGTGGGGTTCCCATTGCACCCCCTCCGGAAACTCCTCTCCATCAAGCACACAGGCTGGAAGGAGGCGGTTGTCACCAGGGGGACCCCCAACCCTTTCCATCCTGGTCCTCCTACCACATCATCCTGCCTGGTTCACAGAACATTCTGGAATGGTTCACAGATATTAGAATGGGAAGGAACTCCCCACCCCCACCCCTGGCCCCCCAGTCACTGTGCTTGTCCCCCCACCCGGGGACACACACATACACACACACACACACACACCTTGGCAGAGAGGGAGGCCAGAGTCAGATGGGGTGCAGGGGGCGACCGGGCAGTCCTGTTCCTCACAGGAGACCTCACCGGCCTAGGAGAAGGGCTGGTGAGAGACTGTGAAGGGAGGAGGTACAGACAGACGGACGGACGGACAGAGGATGGACAGAGGATGGACGGACAGAGGACGGCCTGGGGACGGCACCTACCTGGCAGGAGCATCGGATGCAGCGGCCCTGTTCTTGGAGATGGAAGGTCTCCCCGCTCCGATACTGGAGGCCCTGGAACTCACAGCCTGGACCAGGACAGGACACGGATGGGTACTGGGGAGGGCTCGTGCTGCCCAAGGGACCCTCCCTCCCCCTGACCTGGGCACTCCCACAGCCTCCACCCCTGAGGTGTGGGCCCCATCCCACAGCCCAGTCTGCCATGACAAGGCGAGGGGGGCTGGAGGTGTGGCTCTCAGTAGAGCAAATGCTTTGTAGTGAGGCCCTGAGTTTGATCCCCAGAACCACACACATATGCACACACACGCTCATACAATCACACATTCACTCATGCACAAATGCACCCACATGCACACATGCACTTACACTCACATTTTCACTTACTCACAAACTCACACACACCCACTCATACTTTCACATTGTTACACACACCCACTAGACATACACTCACACTCTCACACACATATATTCATCCCCACATACATACACGCTCACACATACACTCAAACATATATACCCACATAGACACACACTCAAACTCACACACACATATATCCACACACTCACACTTATACACATACATAGACATGCTCACACACACTCACTCTTATACACACAGTCACACACACTCACACTCATATCACAAACTCATACATATCACAAACACATCACTCACACACTGTTACACACACATGCTCACACACTCATACACACACAATCATACACACGCTCCCGCACATACACATGTATGCACATATCCACATCCACACACTCTTATACACAGTTACACTCATACACTCATACACATCCGCACACACTCATACACAGTTACACACTCACACACTTACACACACTCATACATACACAGTCACACACTTGCTCGTGCACACACACTCTTATACACATACACACACACATGTGCTCACACACGAGAGTTGAAGGAAGAGGACCAGAGCTGTCTGAGGGGAGTCCCTATGCCTCAGCTCGGGGCTCCTGGGTCCTCTGTGGAAGCACCGTGGCCCACCCTGAGAGGCCCCAAGCCCCCACTCACCATCACAGCCTGGGCAGCACTGCCCGGAGACCCTGCCTGGGTGTCTGCAGGCCACGGGTGGGCAAGGAAGGGGCTGGCACTGGACACTCCCGTTCTGCCGACAGGGCACAGTGAGCATGGGGCGGGGGGCAGTCCCACCCCCATTGCGCCCCCCGCCGCCCCGCACACTCACGGCACAGCGGCAGTGCGAGCAGGGCTCCCCTGAGCCCACCGTCTCCCCACTGTGGTACTCACGCCCATTCAGGAAGCAGCCTGGGGGGAAGAGGCACCATAGAATTTCCCCAGCACCCCGCTGGAACCCCCAGCCGGCTGCCCCCTCACCCACGGACTCACCATCACACACCGGGCAGCAGGTGCCAGGCAGGGGCCGGGCAGGGTAGGGACAGAGGCTGGCACACTCCCGCTGGACACACTGGACGTGGCCCTCCTGGTGGGCAGGCAGAGTGGGCAGTGGAGGGGACATCAGAGCTCAGACCAGGGCTGAGCGTCCAGTTCCAGGTCCCTATTCCCAGACATCGCCGCTAGAAGTCTGTTCCCCCGCTGCAGTTCTGACTCCAGAGAGGGGTCCTCTCTCCCGTCCCCTCTCTAAGGGCACCATCCACATCACCTGCTCACCCCAGAGGTCCCACCCCTAGTGCTATCACCCAGGGTTCAGAGGAGAGTCAGAGTCCAACATCTGACCTGAGGGCAGGGAGGACACACAAATATTCTGTCCTTAGCCCCAGAAGGTCCTTTCCTGTTTCTCCCTGGGCAGGTCCTACTTAGCCCTCAGGACCGGGTCAAGCCCAGCAGCCATGGGCATCTCTATCTGCTGACCCATGGAAACAGTGAAAGTCAGATACACTCGAGCAAATCCCACGAACAGGAAGCAGATGTGGAGGGCCTTGAATTGGAGCCCTGGCATCACCCCGCATGCTAAGTGCAATCCTTGCAGCATTGGGCACTGTGACAGGTCTGTGACTCCGAATTACCAAAACTGAGCAGGAACCACTAGACATTGCAACAACGACAAAGAAGGGAAGGCGGGAGAGGCGTTGAAAATTAAAATTGAAAATTAGGGGACAGAGCAGCAGTACAGCGGTTAGGGTACTTGCCTTGCACATGGCTGACCTAAGTTCAATCCCCAACATCTCATATGGTCCCCTGAGCACTGTCAGGAGTAATTCCTGAGTGCAGAGTCAGGAGTTACCCTTGGGCATTGCTGGGTTGTACTCCCCGCAAAAAAAAAAAAAAAAAAAAACCACAAAGCAAAAAAAAAAATTAAAATTTGGGAGGGAAAGAGTATGGCAGGTAGGGTGCTTGCCTTGCACACAGTTGATCCAGGTTCAATCCCCAGCATCCCATATGTCTCCCCGGTGCACCACCAGGAATAATTTCTGAGTGCAGAGCCAGGAGTGACCCCTGAGCATTGCTGGGTGTGGCCCTCCCCCAAAAAGATCAAAACAAATACAAAACAAAAAAATTTGAGATTTGGGCACCCAACTTCTTCGCAACCGTCCCCCCCATTAAATCTAAATTAAATTCCTTTCAACCTGAGAGATCCCCGATGTTCTTTCAACATCCAGTCCACATAAAGTGTGGATGGATACTGTCCATCCTTTCATGGCAGCCTTTGAGATCGCTGTGTACTTTACACTTCAGGCCCATCTGTGATGTCCCACTGCGATGCGACAGCCACTTTCCAGCACTCCGTGGCCACAGGCAGTAGTGACCACACAGATCGAGACATCTCAAGCCAGAGTGGCTCCTGCCTGGGGCTTGGCTGCCTGTCCCTGCCTGTCCCCGCTTCTCCTGCAACCCAGAGCTGTCTGAGCCGAGTCATGCCTGTGCTGAAGGCCAGCAGAGTTCAGAACTGGCTCTCAGGGACGTGACCCTGTCGCCACTTCAGTGTTCCTCTCAGGCCTCCATCTCTGCCCCTAGCAGCCTCTGCATGCCCAGTGCAAAGGCAGTGGGTGGGGCCCTGGGTGAGGGTGGATTCAGGGAGCAGCTCTGGGACTCACCAGGCACCGGCAGATCTGGCAGGGGTCCCCAGGAACAGTCCACTCTTGGCCATGATCCAGGTGTGAGTCACCCTGTGAACAGCCTGGGGCTGGGGGAGAGAGGGGCAGGGGGGTTTGATGGGAGCTGGTCTGGACCCCAGCATCACCTGCCCCACCCCCCACACACCTCAGAGGACCCAGAGCCCACCAGCCTCTGCCTACAACCCTCTGTGGCTCCCAAGTCCCCACGTGGGCACCCCCATCACCCCCCTGCATGCCCACCTCACCCTGACCCAACCGGACCCACTCCCTCTGCTCTTTCCCTTCCTCCACCAGCTCCGGCGGGGGCAGGGGGGCATCTAGACAAGGTGGGTCTCTGGGTCTCCTTCCTGAATGTCCTACTTTTGCCCAACGAGTGCCCTCAGCCACTCTCTAGTGGCTTCGAGAGCCCTGTTTCCTAAACCAACTGTCATTCTATAGACAGCCTGTGTGCAATAGCAATGATCAAAAAAATGAACACAAAATCAAGTGCAAAGTGAATCCCGGGAGTTCCGGGCAGTGCTGGCCCTGCTGCTTTGGCTGTGTATTTCTCTCTCTCTCTCTCTCTCTCTCTCTCTCTCTCTCTCTCTCTCTCTCTCTTCTTTTCAGCATCATCCCACCAGTGGTTCTCAGGGCTTACTCCTGGCTCTTTACTCAGGGGGGTCACTCCTGAGGTGTCGGGGGACCATATGGGATACCGAGGATTGAACCCAGGGTTAGTCACATGCAAAGCAAGCACCCTCCCCACTGTACTATTACTCTGACCCCCTCATGTGTGTGTTTCAAGGTAATCACGATCACGATCATCCTATTGTTCATCAATTGCCTCGAGCAGGCACCAGTAATGTCTCCTTCGTCCTAGCCCTGAGATTTTAAAAAGTGCCATATTCAAGGCTCTTTCAGGGTTAGGAGAATGAGACCCATCATTGTTACTGGTATTTGGCATATTGGGTATGCCACGGGGAGTTTGCCAGACTCTGCCGTGTGGGCAGGTTACATTCGGTAGCCTGCCAGGATGTCCAAAGTAAGAATGAGATAATAAGATGTTGCGCAGCCGCAAATGAGGCCGCGAGCTTCTGGGAGCTGGCTTTTATAGTCTCTGGGTCTTGGCTGTTGATAGGATTACATGGCACCAGGGGGGCCAGTTGGTGGGTGTGACCCCTGCCTACTGGAAGATGGAGGATCTGGGTGGAGGATGCTCAGCCCTGATCCGAGCAGGCTTGGAGATCTCAGCCTCGGGTTTCAAGGAGAATCATGAAGAAAAGATTGAGCAGCCCAGTTCGAGGGGACCACCCCAGTCCAGCTTTAGGGGGTTTTGTTTGCCTGTGGGGGGGTCACTCAGGGAAGTACTTGAGAGCCATATGCGGTACAAGGGATTGAAATGGGTTGGCCGCATGCAAGAGAGCTTGCTAACCTCTGCACCAGCCCTGCTCAACAGGTCTGAAGTATGTGAATGAAGCTGGGTAGGCACCGAGGGAATGGGCCAGGGGCTGGAGGTCTCTGCCTGGTGCATGGAAGGCCAGGAGTTTGCTCACAGCCTGGCCCACTCATGCCGAGGGGCTCCTGGTGGCTCAGCTGTCTGGGACCCCCAGAGCCCCACATGTATAACTTCTAGCGCACAGCCAGGTTGCCTGTATGCACCACCACTGAAGCTCCCCAAGCACCACAGGTGAGAGACAGGTATAGGAACACTTTGGTCAAGAGTGTGGCCCCGGTTTGCCCCTCAACCAGAATGGATGCATGCACCACCCTCAAAGGCTGTGACCCCAAATGGGTAGTGCCATTCAGCTGCGCTCCACCCCTCCCCCCGCCACCGTCATGCAAAATGAAGCGGGTAAAAGAGCATGTTTGATGCCCCAGAATGGGGAGCCCACGCCCTGCCCTGGGAGGGTGGAATGTGAGCCCACGCTCCGAGGAGCCCTGAGCTCTGCCAGACACACTTCCCCACACCTCAGGCACAGAGCGGGCTCTGGGGGTGGACCAAAAGGGGCGGCAATCCTTCGGGGCCCCACCGGGCAAGGCAGACTCTCACCTGGGCAGGTCGGGCAGCAGTGCCCAGGCTTCAGGACGGGCTCGGAGCAGGCGCTGGGCGGGCACGTCACAGGCACACAGTGAACCCGGCTCTTCTGCAGGAGACCCAGAGCCGTGACAATGGGAGTGTGGATGGCGGGGATGTGGTGTGTGTGTTGGGAGAGCAGCAGGAGAGCACAGAGCCATGCGGAGTTGGGTGAGGGGGCACCCAGGCTCGGGCACTCACCAGGCAAGAGCACTGAATGCAAGGGTTGGAGCCTGACCAGAAGCTGGCCCCTTCCTCATGGAGTCGCCCCTCATACTCACAGCCTGCAGAGGGGGGACAGGTTGATCAGTAGAAGGTCTCCGGAAGGGACCCCATGGGAGGTATCCGCTCTGGGGGTTGAGGGAGTCACCTGGCCGGCACACGGGGCAGCACTCTCCAGGGGGCGTGTAGCTCTCCAGGCAGTTGAGCTCTGGGCATGGGGGGCCCCCACACTGCACAGTCCCTGCCTGTGGACAGACACGGAGCCCCCCATCCTCCCTCTCAGCCCCGAGCCCCCAGGCAGGCCCAGGCTCTGCAGCCCACCAGGCCCTGGGTTGGCCGAGTGGCAGGGAGGCGGATGGCGATGGACACCAGGCCCCAACCCCCTTACCTGGCAGGTGCAAATGACACACAGTTCCTGGTGCCACGTTTCCCCAGCCCTGTGGCCTCCAGGGCAGTCTGCAAAACCAGAGCCAGGCCCCCAAGTGACACCCCAATCCAATGGGCACAGCCATACCCCAGGCCACAGGCTTTAGTAGGTATATACAGAGGCCTGAGCAGGTGGCAGTCAGGTAGAGGGCCAGCATAGAGGGGAAAGAGGAAGGAAGGAGGGAAGGAAGGAAGGGAGGGAGGGAGGGAGGGAGGGAGGGAGGGAAAGAAAGAAAGAAAGGAAGGAAGGATTCCCAGTATCCCATATGGTCCCCTGAGCACCGCCAGGATCAATTCCTAAGTGCATGAGCCAGCAGTAACCCCTGTGCATCGCCAGGTGTGACCCCCCCAAAAAAAGCAAAAAAAGGAATAGATGGGCAAAAGAAGAGAGAACTGCAAAGCTGGAGGCAGTCTGTTTCCGGTGGCCTTTCTTATGCCCTGATCTCACCGTTCTCCTCCTGCCCACAGGCCAGCCCTGTCTGTTGGTGAGACCCACTTTCCCTTGAATTTACAGCCCAGCCCAGCCAAGTCTGCAGCCCACCCCGACTCCCTAATCCAAATGTCCAGCCCTCCCACTGCCAGCTAAATTCTAACTTCCGGTTGCTCCGCACCACCACACCCCCTGCCATGGGCCACTGATGCTTGGGGGTCCCTCTGGGCAGTACTAGCTGGCTGGATACCAGCCCTGGGCTCCTGCCTGCAAAGCCTGTGCTCAGCGCTTGTGCCACCTCCCAGCTCCACCCAGGCTGCCCTTTCTCTGCCCCTTCCTCTGTGACCTGCTCCCCACAGGGACCACTCCACAGACTCTGTGTTGAACTTTCCAGCTAGGCTGAGCTGGGCTTGCAGTTTCCCCAAGGGCAGGCAGGAAACAGACCCGGGGGGGAGTCCCAGGACAGAGTCTGGGGGCGGAGCTGAGCTTCTTCCTTTGGAGTCCCTTGGTCCCCTGCTGCCCAGGGCAGCAGGTGGGTGTTGGGTGCGCCGGGAGGAGTGTGGGGCGGACCTGGCTCACAGTGCGGGCAGCAGGTGCCTGGTTCCGGGCAGGGGTCTCTGGGGCATGGCGTCTGGGTACACGTGACAGCTCCTTCCTGCGGAGAAGCAGACTGGGGCTGGCAGGGGAAACTGAGGGGAAGGGGGCGGTTTCCCCTTCCACACTTCAGAGGAGGGAGTCTGGGATGGGGGTATAGGGGATCCCCTTGTTCCAGAGGCAGGAGAAAGATCCCCACTCCACCCCCTTGTCTCCTGCCCCCCAAATCATCTCTTTCAGGAGCCAGCAAAGCCCCCAGAGAGGGGGCAATTTTGAGGGAGGGTCCCCAAACGTTCCCACTGAAGGGCTGTGGGGCAGAGCAAGGGAGGACAACTTTGGGGGGATGGGGGGTATATGGAGAGACACAGGGGCAAGGGGGGGACCAGGAGCTCCCAGACCTAAGCGCCCGCCCTCCCACTTTCCAGATTTAAAAAAAAAATTATTCAGCATTCCCTGACGAGAAATCTACTTTTTTTTTTTCTTTTTGCGTCACAGGGGTTACTCCTGGCTCTGCGCTCAGGAATCACCCCTGGCGGTGCTCAGGGGACCATATGGGTCGCTGGGAATCGAATTGGGTCGGCTGCATGAAGGCAAACGCCCTACCCGCCCTACCCGCTGTGGTATTGTTCCAGCCCCAAATCTACCTTTTTTAAGTGAACAAAAGAAAACATCCCCAATTGCCCCCAAGGCTACTACGCATCGCCCCCCCCCCTCCTTCTAGCACCTCATTGGGGGGGATTTCCTCATACTGGCAAAAACAGGGGGCACAGAGGGGACATAGGTTGGGGTGGGAGTTGGAGCATTTGCGCTACCAGGTGGAGCATCCCCCAGGCTGGGGGGGCGGGGCGGGAAAGCAGTCACAGGTGGGAGATGGGGAGGGTGGAGGGGGAGACCGGCCGCTCACCAGGCAGCGGCAGGTGGTGCAGCCGTCGGGGGAGAAGGTCTCCCCGTGGTGATAGGTCTGGCCACTGTGGCTGCAGCCTGCGGAGGAGACAGCGCTGTCCTGGGGGTCCGTGCGCAGCACCCCCCCTGGGGCGCGTCCCCGCGAGCACTCACCCCGGCAGTGCGGCAGGGCGGCCTGCGGCTCGCAGCGCACCGCGCCCTCGCGGCACACACAGACGGTGCAGGGGTCGGGCTCCCAGCGCTCCCCCTCGGGCCAGGCGCGCCCCCGGTCCCAGCACGGCGGGGCAGCCGGGCGGCATTCACAGGCCTCCAGCCGCCGCAGGCGAGCCTGCAGCTCCAGGTTCTGGGTGGGGGTTGGGGAAAGCGTGGCCTCAGCAAGGCTTCCCCCCCCCCCCCCATCCCCCAAACGTCTCACACACGATTTGTGGGAGATGACAACGGGGTAGGATGAGAAGCAAATGCGATGGTTGCAGAGCTGATGCAGAGGCATCCGGGTCCATAGTCACGGCTGTCCGGAACGGGTATCTGGACAGGTCATCAGCGGGAGACGGGCTCCAAGGCCTCTCCTGAGGACACACGGGGGTCCGATTCTCCCGCCCCAAGACGGGTACCCATCTCTGAGGCTCCTGCCAGGCCTTACACTCGGATCCAGAATGTCCACAGGATACGAGGGAGAACTGGCAATGGGACTGGGCAAAATCAGCGCCCTGCAGGGTCATTTGGGAAAAGCAGCGGGCACAGCTCTGTTGAGAAGGTGCGTTTGTTTCTTGGGGTGGGACGAGAAGCCTGGCGCACAGCTGCGTCCAGGGGCATGAGAAAGCGCAGTCGTTTCAGGGGCTTTTCCCGGCTCTGTGCTCAGGAGGGTCGGGTGGGAGGGGTTGGCCTCCAATGGTGCTTAATGACCATGTGCAGTACTGGGGATGGAACCTAGGTAGTACCTTAGACCCAGCTCTCTCTCCCGCCGCTTATTCTTTTATTTGACTCGTGTTTTGGGGAGACACCTGTCTGTGCTGATGTGGGGGAACCACGCAGTGCCTAGGAGGGAGCCCCGGGTCCCGTGTGTGAATCACGTGCTCCAGCCCTTTGGGCATCTCACTGGCCCCAAGTGCATCTTTTTGTTTAGTTTTTTGGGGGCCACACCTGGTGGTGCTCAGGGCTTACTCCTGGCTCTGCACTCAGGGATCGCTGCTGGCGGGACGCAGGGGACCGTATTGATTGAACCTGGGCTGGCTGCGTGCAAGGCAAGTGCCCTACCTGTCAACTCTCTGGCTCCAGGTGCATTTTAATTAATTAATTAATTTTTGGATCACACCCAGCAATGCACAGGGGATATTCCTGGCTCTGCATTCAGGAATTACTCCTGGCAGTGCTCAGGGGACCATATGGGATGCTGGGAATCGAACCCGGTCAGTCGCGTGCAAGGCAAACGCCCTACCCGCTGTGCTATCGCTCCAGCCCCCCGCCCCAGGTGCATTTTTAAAAACAAAGCTCTCTTCTAGCCTCCTGGGTCCCCTGATCCAGCCGCTGTTCCGTTTCCTCCCCTAGACCAAGCTGCCAGTACCCTGGGTTCGAGGCTACCTGTGCACTCAGGTCCTTTACTTCAGCCTCCAACCTTTCCAGCCGTTCTGCTAGAGGGCGCCACAGCTCCTGGGGGTCCCGAGGAGGGCCTGAGGAGTAGTAAGCCTGCTGGGGTTCAACGGGCTCAGGAAGCTCAGGGGGCTCCCCTGGGAGGGCCCCATCTGTAGGGCACAAGAAGGCAGAGGCTCCGGGTGAGGGACTCTGCATCCCACATTCCACCCTGGAAAGAAGAGGGGCTCTCAGGGACCAAGCGAGGGGGTGCTGATCAGGACCCTCCATCCAGTCCACAGCCCCAGGAGATGGAGGAGGGGGTGGGGGGCTGGAGCACAGCCCACCCTCCAGATCCTCCTACCTGTTAGCAAGGCTCCCTGCTGACAGAGGAGGGGGGCGCTGTTCCCACCCCCAAAACTCACCACTCTTTTTAGGACCCCTTACTGGCAGGGGAGGATCGGAAAGAGGAACTTGACAGCAGTTCCTGAAGGGTTGGGAAATGCTGAGGGGGGTCCCACTAGCTCTCAGGGCAGAGGCTGAGTGCAGACATCTGCCCCTGGTGAAGGTGATGTGGCATGTGGCTGGCCGGGGTGGGGGGAGGGGGGGAAGAGGATGAGGAAGAAGAGGAGGGAGGAGGGTGGGGAAGATGAGGAGGAAGGGGAGATGAGGAACAGAAAGGAGGAAAGGAAGAGAAGGAAGGAGAGGAGAGAGGAGAGGAGAGGAGGGGGGAGGAGAAGGAGGGCTGGGAGGGGAGGGGAGAGAATAGGAGATCCCTGCTGCAGGCCCACATGTGACCTTCCACACATGTTCCCCATCTTTTTAGCCTTCCCTGCAGTCCAACACCCCAGTCAATGCAGACACTCACATACACATGTTAGGGTCACCCTGTCCCCCCATCAGCTCCTGTCCCTGCTCTCCCTCCAGACCTGTGACTTAGGGGGGCAAGGACAAGGTGTCCACATCTTAGCCTTCTGTGACTGGGCCTCCCCTGACCCCGCTGAGCACCCCTGAGCCCCTCTGACCCCCTAGCCCTGGACCCCCTGGAACCCACCCCCCATAAGCAGCTGCTCCAGGCGTGCTGACAGCATAGATCCAGCCCAGCCAAGCTGGGGTGCTCTGGGGTCCCCCTGGCCTGGAGACAGAGGAGCATCCCCAGGGGACACAAAGCCCACGGGAGAGGGGGCACTTGCCACAGCAAGGAGCCTTACTGAGCCCCCCCCATTCCTCCCTGTTCACCCCCTGGGAAAGTGCAGCCAGACTCCAACGCGGTTCCCACGGAGGGCCCCTCTCCCAGCGCACCCCGCCCCGCTTTCTCCAGACAAATAATTAACTTCAGACTCCCAGATTCCGGGCCAGCCTCTCCCCCACCACGGCAGCTGCCGGAATTCCTCCCAAGGCCAGAGCGGAAGCCCCTTCCCCCGGGGGACCCCCAGTCTCTGGCCTCTCCCCACCCACCCCCACCGCCACCCCCGCCCCTCCGCTCTCCGCCCCGCCGACCACCCACCGACGGGGTGGTGGACAGGGCGCACGTTCCAGGCGCACGCACCCCAGGCAGGGGCCGCCCCGGCCCGCGCCCCTCGGGCTGAGCCCGCCCAGGCGGGGGTCCCGTCCGGCTGGTCCCCGCGCCCTGGACGCCCCGGACTCACCTCGGCGCAGCCCCGGGGCGGCGGCCAGGCCGGCGAGCTGCAGGAGGGTCAGCAGAGCGACCCGCGCCCCCGCCGTGGCCATGCTCTCGGCGGCCGGAGCTCAAGCGGGCGCGGGCCGGGGAGGGGACACGCCAGGCCGCCGCCCACCGGCTCCGTGTGGGGAGCGCCCCCGGCTTCCGGCGTCCAGCCCCGGAGGCACCTGGAGCCGCGGGGACCCTGGCCTCCCGCTGCTCCCCTGCAGCCCAGCACCCCCGTTCAGACCCGCACTGCATCGCCGGCCCTAGACAAGACGTTTGCAATCCTTTTGCACCTTTTTTGGGGGGTGCCCGACTGTGCCCCGCGCCCCGCCCCCGTGGAACGCGTGGACCGCAGTTCACCCCTTGGCTGACCCCCTCCCCCATATTCACCGCCCCCGGCCACGAGGGACAGCAGCGCTGTAGCAGCATCGGGGACTCCGAGAGCAGTGCTCGGACCTTCGCGCCCTGGGCACTGCCCCGCGCCGTGGGACGGCACGTTCCCGGGCCTGCGTCAGCCTCAGACGCCGCCCTGGGCAGTGGGCTGATGACACCGCCTCTCTCGGAGCAGGACTCGGCGTGGGCATAACTGGATGCCCCCCCCCCCCCCCCACACACACACACACCCCGCAAGAGACCAAGACTGACCGCGAGGACGCCAGCGGTGCGGAAGCAATGCCACGCCTCTTAGCACCTGCAGGGGGCGCTAACGAATCACCCCAATTTTGATGTTTTGATCCTAGAAGCGTTTGATCCTAGAAGCAGGAATGGACAATACAGATGGTGTTCTCCAGGCCCGGGAGAGAACCCTGTAGGATGGAGCCCCGTCCTGGGCACCTCACAGCTCCCCCGCAGCGGTCCTGGAGTAGCTCCTGAGCTGGGCCCCCACCACCACCACCTAGCACTAACCCAAGGTTGCGTTCTGGGGAGGACCCCTGCCCCTTTGGTCCTGCAGGTCACTCCAGCCCTCCCATGGACATTTTTTAAAAAGTCTTTATACCCACCCACTGCCCCTTCCCATGATTGCTGTTGTGGTCTTCATGTCCAGGGCCCACCCTCCTGGCCATAAAGCTTTAGTCTTGGGGGCTGGAGTGATAGTACAGCGGGTAGGGCATTTGCCTTGCATGCAGCCAATCCGGGTTCGATTCCCAGCATCCCACATGGTCCCCTGAGCACCGCCAGGAGTAATTCCTGAGTGCATGAGCCAGGGTAACCCCTGTGCATCGCCAGGTGTGACCCAAAAAGCAAAAAAAAAAAAAAAAAAAAAAAGAAAGAGAAAAACATGGTATTAAAAGCAACAGTCAGGGCTGGAGCCATAGCACAGTGAGTAGGTCCTTGCACGTGGTTAATCCCCAGCAACCCATATGGTCCCCCAAGCACAGCCAGGAGTAATTCCTGAGTGCATGAGCCAGGGTAACCCCTGTGCATCGCCAGGTGTGACCCAAAAAGCAAAAAAAAAAAAAAAAAAAGCTTTAGTCTTATCCTGGTGCATGCCAGAGATCACACACAGTGGAGCTGCCAGGGCCACACTCATGCATGTGGGTGGCACTGGGCATCCAGTCCAGGCCCTTGCACCTGCAGGGCAGTTGCCTTTAGAAATGGAGCCCCCTTGGGCCAGAGCGATAGCACAGCGGGTAGGGCTTTTGCCTTGCACGCGGCCGACCCAAGTTCAATCCCCGTCATCCCATATAGTCCCCAAGCACCACCAGGAGTAATTCCCAAGTGCAGAGCCAGGAGTAACGCCTGAGCATCGCTGGGTGTGACCCCCACAAAAAAAGAAGTGGAGCCCCCCACCACCACCAGTCCTGGCCCCACCCCTCCTCCCAGTGTGTGCATTTTTAAAGTTTTGCTTTTCGCAGAGAGACCATGCAAAAATATTGCACCTCTGGGCTCCTGGGGGGAGTGAGGAAGGGGGTGAGGTTTCCCGGAATCACACAGCGCCCCCTCCACCACGCAGTGAGTGTTTCCCAAGCAGCCTGGTGGGGCTTTCAAATCTCTTCTTACTGTTTTGTTCTGTTTTTTGGGGGGGTGTTTCTGTTTGGGGGCCATACCCTGTGATGCTCAGGGACTACTCCTGGCCTGCTGCTTGTGACTCTCTCCTGGTAAACTCGGGGGGCCCAGCCCCCAGGTCTCCTGCCTGCATAGAAAGTACCAGGCTTCCTGAGCCTTTGCCTGGTTCTTACGTTTTTTTTTTTTTCTCAAGACTGACCCCTGGAGATCCTCTTGGAGTTCTGGAGGTCCTAAACGGGGTGGGGGTAGGGGGTAGGAGATGTGCGTGGCTCCTGCCTGCAGGTGTCCCCTGTCCCCACACTCCTCCCTTCCCTTGGGATGCTGGAAATCTCCCCTGGAGCCTCGCTGGTCCTTCTGGGTAGCACAACCTCTTCCCCAGTGCTGTCCTGGAGCCGTTCTGCACCTGCGTTACCCAGAGCAGAGGCCCCTTCACGCCTAGCAGAGCAGCCCGGCCCCACTGGTCCATGCTGGTTTGGGCCAGAGCCATGGTACAGCTGGGAGGGCACTTGCCTTGCACGCGGTTGACCCAGGGTCGAGTGCAGAGCCAGGAATAAGCTCTGAGCACAGCCGGTGTTCCCCTAATCATCATCATCATCATCATCATCATCATCATCATCATCATCACTGTCACTGTCCTCCCGTTGTTCATCAATTTGCTCGAGTGAGCCCAGTAACGTCTCCATTTTGAGACTTGTTGTTACTGTGTTTGGCATATTGAATACGTCATGGATAGTTTGCCAGGCTTTGCCGTGCGGGCGAGATACTCTCGGTAGCTTGCCGGGCTCTCCGAGAGGGGCAGAGGAATCGAACTCGGGTCGGCCATGTTGGCTGCGTGCAAGGCAAACGCCCTACCACTGTGCTATTGCTCCAGCCTAATAATAATAATAATAATAACAATAATAATAATATACATCTTGGTGCAACCAGCTCTGAGTTGTTCGGTCATTTCACTGGAGGTATCCACAGGGTCAAACAGCTACTACAAAGGACAGTGCATCTTTATTTATTTATTTTACTGTTTTTGGTTTCACTACTCAGGGGCCACTCCAAGTGGTGCCAGGGATGGGCCAGAGCCATAGTACAGCTGGGAGGGCACTTGCTGGCGTGCGCTCTCCAGGAGTGGAGAGAAGAGACAAAAGTTCAGCTCCCAGCTACTCGGACCCTGGCCAAGAAGGTTTGCACCTCAGCTGCAGTGAGCTGTTCTCTGGGCACCCAGAGATGAAGTGATCCAGCCCCGAATCCTCGAATCCAAAATGCTCTGACCTCCAAGGAGTTCCTGAGCATCCTGGAGGGCACAGCCTGGAAAACGCATGCCATGTCTCCCCCTCTCACTCACCCCTGCCTGGTCAGACCTCCACCTGCCCTCAGTCCTGTGCTTCATCAGCCCGCGGGGGATGGGGCGTGTTTCTGGCCTAAGTAAGGATGGATGCTCAGGTGCTCCTCAGACAACAGAGCATCTGGGATTTGAGGATTCGGGGCTGGATCCCTTCCGCTCTGGGTACCCAGAGAACAGCTCACTGCAGCTGAGGTGCAGACCGTCTTGGCCAGGGTCCGAGTAGCTGGGAGCCGAGCTTTGGTCTCTTCCCTCCACTCCTTTGGCACCCAGGCTCTGAGCCGCCTTTGCCCACCTTTCTCTCAGGCTGGCTGGGGCACACACATCAAGACTGGTCTCAGCCGTGCCACCACCCCAGTCCACGGTGTTGTGGCAAGCAGGACTTAGGTAGGGCATCAGGAGATGGGAGAGGGCTGCTCCTTCCCGGCAGTATGAAGAGCAGGGGTTCGTGCCAGGGACCAAAGGATCAAAACCCCAGTGGGGCCATCTGGGTGCCCTGCCCCCTCCCCGTCCCCCACAATGATCTCTGGTGCTCTTGGTTCTTTTTTTTTTTCTTTTTGGGTCACACCTGGCAATGCACAGGGGTTACTCCTGGCTCTGTACTTAGGAATTATTCCTGGCGGTGCCTAGGGAACCATATGGAATGCTGGGAATCGAACCAGGGTCGGTCGCGTGCAAGGCAAACGCCCTACCCGCTGTGCTATCACTCCAGCCCCTCTTGGTTCTTTCTTGCACCTTTTTCTTTCTTTTATTTTTAGGTCACACCAGCAGTGCTCAAGACCTATGCCTTGCTCTATACTTTGGGATCACTCCTGGTAAGCTCAGGGGACCATGTGAGCTGCCAGGGATTGAACCCGGGTCAGCTGTGTGCAAAAGCAAATGCCCTACCCGCTATACTATCCCTCTGACCCTTTCTTGCACTTTCTTAATCCGCATCCTTCAAAGTCACTTAGCTAGTGCAAATAATTCCCCTCTTGAGTCTTACACAGAATTGTGCCACCATCCCCACGATGCCTTCTAGAACATTTGGAACATTGCATTCCCCTGTAGTCCCTTTAGCATTCACATCCTCTTGTCCCCAGCCCTGGTTCAGGCAACATCTTATCTAAATTCTCTCCTTGGAGGTGTCGAATGGACACTTCACAGAAGTGAGTCACACAATGTGGAGGTCTGGGCCTCTGTTTCTCCTGTCTAGTTCCCAGTTTCCCTCATGTCATACCAGGATATTGGCATACCATTCCTTTTCTTTGATGTGTAATATTCCATGGTACGTATGCGCAGTATTTTTTTTTTTTGGCCCATGCATCCTCCACCACAGATATTAGAATCACTTCCACTTTCTGGGTACTGTGAATAAGGTTCCTCTGGACACACCATGCCAAGTTCTGTGTGGGCACCTGCCTTTCTTTTCTCTCTGGGTTCTGAAACAGGGTTCTGAATTGCCCAGTCATTCTATCTTTAACTTTTGCTGGGAAATGCCTAATTGTTCTCTAATGTGGCTGCACCATTTCCCATTCCCACCAGCAATAGGAGATTCCAATTTCACCATATCCTTGACAAACTTATTGCTATTATCTGGTTTGTTTGTTTTTTTTTTTTGCAGCCATCCTAATGGGTGTGAGGTGGAGTGTCATTGCGGTTTTGATCTGCATGTCCTGATGACTCAAGTGGTTAAACATCTTCTCATGTGCTTATTAGTCACTCAGCATCTTCTGAGAAATACCT